TCTCGTTTTAAGACATTTTACTGCAGAAAAGTGCCACATTAAACCATTATATTGTACCTAAGAGTGTGATGAGGCGGTGTGCGTCCTGCGGGTGGCGTTGGTAGCGCACCACCTCCTCGTACGGGCTGCTGAGGGCGCTGCAGCAGCTGTTGGGGCAGCGGGGCGGGCAGGACGGCTGGGCGGTGCTGTGACTCCGCCGCCGAAACAGACGCATGCTACGCCTGAAGCCCACTGGCAGAGAAAGGAAAGGTGATGTTAGTGAGGAATGGTCTGTGATAGGTTCATGCAAACTCTTTGATAGAACATCATAAAGAGAGTTCAGACTTACCTAAGTCAGTGCTGCTGCTGAAATCATCCTCCTCTGGAACAAGCAGACAGGAACACATGAATGCAAATGAAGGTGAGGGAGGGTTAAACAAACTGAAATAAATGCAGAACTTCCCGTAAGCTGGGGGGCTTTAACACATTTTATTTTATTTATTTAACCTTTATTTAACCAGATAAAAGCATTGAGATAGAATCTCATTGGCAATGCTGACCTGGCCAAGAAGAATGAAAGGTTAAAGGGTTAAGGTTCAGACTGCTTTTAATGTCTTTTGTGGGTCAAAAAAAAAAAAAGGTCTAGGTCCTACAATTCCCACAATGCAATGCACCAATGGCATGTATTTATTTTTCTCTTTAAGCAAGCAGTGAGTCTATTCAGATCAACTGAAACTATGTTTTCTCACCTTCTCTGAGCTCTTCTGACATTTCCCCGCAGGAGAATAAAAAACGATACAGAATGTCTCAGATGAAGGACATGAGGAAGAGTTATTCAGAATTCAGAGTCTAAACCAGTTGAAATTAAATAAACTTACCTACCAGATTCAAATGCCTCCTCGTCTGATGCAATCCAAATAACACAGAGGGAAATTAATCATACGTGTAGGAATTATAACAAGAATACATCTCAGGTGGAGCTTTACCTGCTTCTACACATTTGTCATCGATGGCCATCATGTCTTCCTCTGTGGGGGAAAAAAGGAGTTGTTACAACACATTCAAATCTTTTTTTTCTAAAGCTGTCAGTGCAATCTGCTCACCTTCCTCTACAGTGCTCACTTCAGGAAGCATGGAGTAAAACACAATGAAAGGTTTGAACAGAGGCTGAGAAACTTGGATTTAAAGTGTGATGAAATTGAAATGAACTTACAGGTGTGTATGCAGGTGTTTGGCTGATAAGGCTGAGACCACCAGGACTCCCTCTGCTTCCTGTCACAACACCACATGTATGGTTTAAACGTCTCCTATTATACTATTTTAGGCATTTATTATAGGTCTCAGATACATACAAATATATAAAAAACATGTCTGGTATTTTCAGCTAAACACTTCACAAACAGATCATGCACTTAAGACATCCCTCATATCCCTCTATTTCAGCCCTGTTAGAGAAGTGCTGATTCTGGGTCCGTAGCTTTAAAATAAAATAAAATAAAAAGAGGGGGGGGGGGGGGGGGGGGGGGGGGGAGCTTATGGAGAAGAATTCTATCATGTTCCAAACCACATCGAGGATTATTTCTGAAACAATATGGAGCTCAAATGGTTTACCACAAGGTGAGTACCTTTTTATTTCCTGCTTCTTTACACATACTCTCTCCAGTACAGGTTAGCTCTGAGTGTTAGCGACGCTTGCTAATGTAAACACAGACCATATTACTTCCAAAATGTTGCGCATTGTTTCTGATGGGGCCGTAGGTCCACATTTCCGATATTACGTCATATCGGACGCAAATCTGGATCAGCTCCGTTTTTTGAGATGTGGGTACGGAGGGAAAGAGAGAGGGTTTTGTTTTCTGACACTTTGTGAGTTCCCTGACACACCGGGGACACATATTCATGTATAAAAGACATCAAAAAGTGCATTTTGCATGATAGGAGACCTTTAAATAATGCATAGTAATCATAATAGGGCAGCAGCAGCATGTCAGTAGATCCCTCACCGTTTGAGCAGGTTGGTGGAGGGGATGAGTCCGGCGCAGGAGGAGTTGTCGGGCAGTTTCTTGGCCTGCCACCAGAGGGCGTCGGTCTGATCCACCACCTCCAGAACGTCCCCCTTCTTGAAGCTCATCCCGGCGTCGGCGCAGGGGATGGAGGGGTCCTGCTCCGGGCTGTAGTCCGCCATGGCCCGCACGTACAGCTGACCCCAGAGCAGCGAGGTTAATATGATGATGTGTGTGTGTGTGTGTGATGTCATGAGTGTGTGTGTGTAGATGACTTACCATGGTCTGGTTGTGGACCTGCCTCTCTGTGATGGGCACGACTTTAAACACGATGGTGCCCTGCGCCCTCACTTGCTGATTGGTTGTAGAGACAGAACAGGGATTAATGAGTAGATATGAATGGTTCCTAGGATTATTAGAAACTGATCTGCATTTCTAAGCATTTTCAAAACATGAATCTGTTTTGAAAAGGTGCTGTGATGGCATTGGACAGCAACAATTTCTGCATCAAAAAGTCCTTTGGGGATGAATACATATTGAAATGATCACATTTGTGTTAGTATCCTTCCAAAAAAGACGTACCACAACTTGGATGACTTGCTCTGGCTCCATCCCGTCGACAGGGAACCCGTTCACCTCTACGATCCTGTCCCCTGCATGCAGCAACCCTGCACACATAATACAAATTAAAATGAGACTTAAACTATCATTTCCTGTAACCCTGAGTCTCTGAAGTCACCAAGGTTACAAAACGTCCTTATTAATAAACATTCAATCTAACAGTTCTTGTCTTGAAGAAGGTCTAAATGCTTGCTTATTAAAAAGTCTTTTGCACGTATTCGAGTGTGCAGAGGCTCTTTTTATTACATATTTGACCTGGGTAAGACTACAATAAAGATTTATGAAAAAAGAGAATCAACAGGAAATGCAATAACGTTTGAGCATTCAGGTTTGACCGTTGGAAAAGTATGTTAGACGTAGAAATCTTGAATTGTTGACATTATCTTTGAGAGGAAATGCTCACCACTGCGATCAGCCAGACCTCCGTGAATCACCCGGGCGATGAAAATCTCCCCCGTGTTCTCGTTTCTTTTTATAGTCGCTCCCTGGAACAGAGAAGATATGAGAACAGAAGATAAATAAAGCTAATGTGAAAGACTCACAACAAACACATACACGTGGTGAAGTCTTGGGAAGGCTTGGACAGGTTGTGAAATGTTTGAATCATGACAGTTTAGGAACAAACCAAGCGACAAACACAAAGTGAAGTTCCTGAAATGAGACATGAGAAGAAAGCAGTGGAGGTGGGGGTGAAAGGAATCAAGGGTCTTTGACAGAAGACGCTATATATTGCTACAAAACAACGTAGTGTAACATCGTAGATCTGGAAATAAGCACCCTTGTGTTTAGTTTCCAGAATCAGTCCCGAGTGGTAATGAGAAAGAATGGAATGATCCACAAACGATGGAAGAAAATGGTGAAAAATGCAACAAAAAGTAGGAAATAAACGTCAGCTACCACCGTGCTCGCTCGCTGGTCGGCCCCTCGGTGCAGACGGCTTGAAAGGACCCTTAAAGTCCACTCGTGGAAACTCTTCTGCGTCCCTCATGTGGCCTTCCTCCTCCTCCTCTTCCTCTGGTGAGAGTGTCTCACAGTGGGCGGCGTCCTCTTGTCCTCCTCCTGCAGGCCGTTGGTGAGAGGCTGCTTGGACGCTTGCTGCTGCTTCTTCTTCTTCTGTGGTGACTGGGCGCTCTTCAGGGCGGGGCAGGGGGACCCACTGCAGGACACGGAGAGGCCGCTGGTCCCCTGAGAGGGGGAGGGGGCTTCCAGGAAGCTGCTGAGGGAGCTGGAGGAAGAGGAGGAGGAAGGGAGAGAGGGGAATCTGGATTGGTGCGTCAGGGATGGATGCTGCGCTCGCATCTTCTTGGGGGAGTCCTGGGGGGGCACAAGGAGGGTCTGCAGCCGGTCCACCACCTGAGAGAGCAGCACCAGGGCCTGGGAGTTGTCCTGTACCGTCTCCGACATGCGCTCCGTGGCGGCGGCCATCTTTTCCCCCAGCATCTTGATGTCCTTGGTGCTGCTCTCCATGGAGCAGGCGGCCAGCTGCACCGTGGTCCTCAGCTCGTCCAGGCTCTCCTGCTTGGCCAGCTCCACGGGGGGGGGCACCCGGGGGAGGTTCACCAAGCGGCGAGGGCACAGGGGGCTGGGGGGGGCGGTGCGGATGCGGGGGGTTTGGCCTCGGAGACGGGGAGGAAGGCCTGGGTGGAGGTAGTGGTCCGCGTTGGCGTAGTACGGCACGGTGAGACACGGAGGGGATAGCGTCCAGCGGCGGGCTGTGGGGGGGGAGGAGGGGGACTCTCCTGCTTCATCCCCACTGTCCAGCCCCTCCATGATGTTGTCTCCAATGGAAGCACAGACATTATTAATCCATAGGGCTGCACATATAAGAATTACTCATGATATATTGAGTGTTGTTGGACGACTTCCCATTATTTAAACTAGTCTGTAGTAGCTGATGAGCCTATGACAAAACAGCTGTTAAATCTTAATAAATAATGAAACACATCACAGTATTCCTTTCTTTTTTTTCAGTATATTGCTTGAAAACAAATAGCCTGTAGAGGTGGGAGATGTACTCAGATGTTGTACTTGAGTAAAAGTAGAAGTACCCGAGTGAAGGAATACTCTGTTACAGTAAAAGTCCTCCAATCGAAATGTTCCTCAAGTAAAAGTACAAAAGTATTATCAGCCAAATATAGTGAAAGTAGTGACAGTAAAATTAGTCGTTGTGCAGATTGGTCCATTTCAGAATAATATATATGATATGTTTTATAATGATTGATCATTAAAGTGTTCTTAAAGCTGGTAAAGTCTGATTTAATACTCAAGTAAAGTAAGAAACTCAAAAGTGTACTGAAGTATACTACTTGAGTAAATGTACTTAGTTACTTTACACCACTGATCGCTTGCTTGAATCGTGCCAGTTGGCCGCAAAACTATACTTCGTGCCGCCCCGATGAGAGTCCACGAGTTTCTGTGATGAAGGATGGATGAAGATGACTCTTTTTTCTTACCGATGAGCACAGAGCTGTAGACGGAGGGCGCAGAGCGGTGAACACTCTGTTCCCAGATCAGCCCGGAGTAACAAACTCTACACGGGCTCAGCGGCTTGCCACAGCACATCTGATATTTACACGTCGAATGAAATCGAGGAGGAGCGTACGGCCGCGCTGCTGCTGCTGCTGCTGCGGGACAAAGAGCATCGCACGGGGGGAAGCTGCCCCTGCGAGAGCTACACGACGACGAGGTCTTCACAGTTCCTGCGGCATGGCTTTGGACCCTGAATGCACCGCCTTTCAGCAGGCTCTCCTGGGTCTCCAGGGTGTCCCAGTGATTTTGGACCCTCTCTTTGCATCGTGTCGCACACGGGGAGGAGGCACCCAGTCTCTGGTGGGGGAGCTGTGAGACAACACAATCACTCAAAAGGTAGAGAGACATGTTTAAGACTGCGAAAAGAAACTAGATTTAAAAGATAAGATTATCGATCATCTCTGACCATTCTCAAAATCATATCAATACTTTAAATTGCTGTGCGCTTGGTGCTAGAAAATGGGTTTTTACTATATCTCTGACAAACAGCCAAGCTCTCATGGTGGTTATATGGTTATAGGGCTGCTACTAATGGTTCTTTTATAGATTAACTATTTAAAATAGGATTATATTAGTGGATTTAAATGGCTTGGTCTATTTTAATGTAAGAAAACATGTGAAAAATGTCCATCCCAGTTTCTAAAAGTCTAAGATGTCTTTAAATGTCTTGATATTCACTTTAAAATGATACAAAAAATCTTTTGCATAGAAAATGACTTTAAGTTTGCTTTGTGAACAATGCTCATATGTTTCCTTTATACCATGATTGTCTTCCTTAAAGTTCAGTTAAAACCAATACTTTGTTGTCAAATAAAAAACTCAAAAGAGAAACTTACTTCTCACCTTCAGCAATCACTGCCTCCATTACCTGCAAGATGTCTGTCTCCCCCCCCCACTTTCTGAAAACCCACCTGAACTTGTAGACTATTATAACAGCACCCTCTCCTTCTGTCTCAATGAACTGGCCCCCACAAAAACAAAAAATGTCTCTTTCATACACTCCGCCCCCTGGTATACCCCCGAACTCCGCCAAATGAAATCAAGGAAACGTCAACTTGAACGGCAACACAAGAAAACCACACTAACAGTCCATCTTCAAATCTACAAAGACTATCTCCAGCAGTACAGTAACGCACTCAAAGCAGCCCGGTCTAATTACTACTCACAACTCATTCAGTCTGGCTCCAGCAACCCCAAGCGTCTGTTCTCCACCATCAGCAAACTTCTCAAACCCTGTGACAACGCCACCTCGTCCTTCACCACCGAACAGTGCAACTCCTTCCTCTCGTTTTTCCCCTCCTGGCTCCCCCCCTTCACCTCACAGCCCCTGTCCCACTTCTCCCCTGTGACCCCCATGCAACTGTCCGACTTCATGACTGGAATTAACTCCACCTGCACACTTGACCCAATGCCCTCCAAATGTGTTAAAGAGAGCCTCCCTGCCATCTCCCAACTCATCGCCACCATCATGAACTCCTCCCTCAGATCTGGATCAGTTCCCCCCTCTCTCAAACTGGCTGCTGTCACACCCATTCTCAAAAGACCTGGACTCACACCTGACATCATGTCCAACTTCCGGCCCATCTCAAATCTCCCCTTTCTGTCAAAAATACTTGAACGTGTCGTTGCCTCACAACTTAAAGCCCACCTCAGCTCCAATGACCTCTTTGAGCCATTTCAATCCGGTTTCCGATCAAAACACAGCACCGAAACAGCTCTTCTCAAAATCACAAACGACCTCCTCCTCTCCTCTGACTCCGGCAACCTTAACATCCTCATCCTCCTCGACCTCACCAACCACGCCATCCTGCTGTCCCTCCTCGAATCATCACTCAACATCACCGACACTGCACTCTCCTGGCTGAAATCCTACCTCACCGACAGACATCAGTTTATCAACAACTGCACCTCCTCCACTGCTCCTCTGTCCCAAGGTGTCCCCCAGGGTTCGGTGCTTGGCCCCCTCCTCTTCATCCTCTACATGCTCCCCCTTGGCAAAATAATTCGTCGCAACAACCTTCAATTTCCCTGCTACGCCGATGACATCCAACTTTATATCTCAACAAAAACCATCACCCCCACAACACACTCCACTCTCACCAACTGTCTCTCAGAAATAAAAGCATGGATGCAAACAAACTATCTCCAACTGAACAGTGCCAAATCAGACATCATCATCATCGGCCCCCCATCCCGTATCAAAGACATCCAGAATTTCAACTTCACCATTGACAGCCACACTCTATCTCCCCCCCCTCACATCCGCAACCTCGGAGTCATCTTCGACAGTCAGCTCAAATTCAACCACCACATAAATCACATCACCAGGACCGCCTTTTTCCACCTCAAAAACATTGCCCGTCTCCGCCCATCACTCTCCTCCTCTGCTGCTGAGACCCTGATTCATGCATTCATCACTTCACGACTCGACTACTGCAATAGCATCCTCTACGTCTACGGCATACCATCCAACCTCCTCAATAAACTCCAACATATCCAGAACTCTGCTGCCCGCCTCCTCACCCACACCCGCTCCCGAGACCACATCACTCCCGTCCTCCAGAACCTCCACTGGCTCCCCGTCCGTCAAAGAATCGACTTCAAAGTCCTCCTGATTACTCACAAAGCCCTCAACAATCAGCCCCCCCCCCCTACCTCACAGACCTGCTGCACCACCACACCCCTTCCCGCTGCCTCCGCTCATCAGAAGCCAACCTCCTATCCATCCCCACCCGCACCAATCACCGGACCTGGGGGGACAGAGCCTTCTCCGTCGCTGCCCCCTCCCTCTGGAACTCACTCCCCCAACCCATCAAAGACTGCACTGACCTCAACACCTTCAAAAAACTCACAAAAACTCACCTCTTCAATCTGGCTTTTAATGTGTGATTGTTTTTGTATTATTTGATTTTAACTATATATTTATTTGTTGTTCCTTCCTTTTCTTTTCCCTTTACTATATCTGTAAAGCGTCTTTGAGCACCTGTAAAAGCGCTAACAAATTAAATCTATTATTATTATTACAAGACATGTTAGTATTTTGCATACATTGACAACCTTTAATATCCTCATGTTCCCAGTGGTTTCTGCGGGGAGGAAATCTGTAGCAATTACTAAAATGACAGATTATAAAATCCAAACATCTGGTCTCTGTTGGATGCAGTCCGCTGATTTCAATTTGGCACAAATAAAAAAGCCTACATATTAAAATACCCACGAGCAATTCCATGTTCCTTTTGTGTCCCTATATTTGTGTGTTATGTGACAAATATCTTGATATATGTGTTAAGACCTACTATGTGCAGAATTTCTCCACTGATGCAATTTGTAATGTGTTCTAAGAAACAAAGATTCTTTCGAGGTGTTACATGACGGGTTGAGGAGACTTTGGTTGTGTAGCTCACCAGAGGCTGTTTGTTCTTCACCAGGCAGACGGTCCTGGTGGCCTCCTCTTCCTCCGGCAGCTCGTCGGGCATCGGAGGCAGAACCGGCTCGTAGTCCTTTTGGGCCACCGTATCGTGAGCCGAGAGCAGAGCCTGCAAGAGATCACCAGACAGTTTGTGTGTTTCCCACAATCCCGAGGAATAAAAAATATTAAAAAATATGTATAAAATATGTATACACACATTCAACAGACACATTTATACACATGCACACATAAATAAAAGCACAACAATCAACATATTCAAAATAACAGTCACTTTGTGTGCCTTTAAACCGTCCTCACCACGAATGCATGCTTTAATCTTTGTTTAAGAAAATATTTGATCATCCCTTGTGTTTATTGGATTGGCTTTTTATTTAATTATAGCATGTTATTGTTTCCTTTTTTGTTGTTGTTTGAATCTAGTGGAGGACTTCTTGCTGCATGTTCGTATTATAACCCAACTTAATATACATTCAGTTTTGTTTCAATATGTTTTTGTGCCTTTTCTTAAATGGAAAGTGAATTTAAATGCCTATAAATGACATGACATGCTGCTCAAAGGAGACTTGTTTTCTCAGCTTGTCCATGAAGTTATGTTGCTGTAAACGATATATGCAAAGTATATCCAAAAGACAACACATTCAGACTTCCTACCTGCAGGTGAGGCTGTCTCAGGAGGCGGTAAAGCTCTTTGGCCTCTTCAGAGCAGCCCGGCAACGATCTGATATCAATCAGCAACTACACAAAGCAAAGTCCGACATTTATAATGAAAGACTTCCACCAGATGAATGTGAGTTGGTAATAAAACATAAAAGAAGAGTAACCTGGAGTGAGAGTCCTGAAGCGTAGTCCAGAGCCGGAGCTGGGGAATCACTCAGGAACGTTTGGAGACACTCGTAAACCTGAAAACAATGTTAAAATGATGATAAAGAAATAACATTTCAAGTTTCAAATGTATTATTAAACACCTTGAGGCTTTTATGTTTGTATCTAAGCCCACATTTCCCTCAACCTGTCTTTGACATGCCGTTAAATGATTGGTTTCCCACATCTAGAGAGTTATTTGTGTTCACATTCCATCCTAGGACAATCTATTGAAGGTCAAATGAAAGTAGAATTTGTTACCAACGTTGTATTTGACAAAAAGGAAGGAAACATTTTGTGATATGTTTTACATTTCACAGCCATCAAACACCATTGCAGCTGTGGCCAACATATCTTTATTTTCATTCCATGGTTATATTTTATTGAGACGAGTTTGTCTCCCTGCTTGTGCCCTCTGTTATGTCAAATTAACCATATCTATTCAAGTCATTTTAATTGTGCTTGTATGTCCATCTGTATTTCCGGTGGAGGTAATAACAAATAAAAAGGATATGAGAGAGTAACTGACTAATCACTAATAATAAATACTATAATATTCAAGTGGTGATAATATTTATATATATATTTATTTATATAACTAAATAATAAAGGGGATGTTCAGAGTATTTTCAGACCTTGATCAGTGAGAGCAGCCAGGGGGCTTTCAGACTGTGGAGGATCTCCGCTCCATCGATGTCCTGATTCACAGACTTCCTCACCTCCTCGATCACATCCGTCAGGATCTGACGCAGGCCTGACACACACACACACACACACACACACACACACACACACACACACACACACACACACACACACACACACACACACACACACACACACACACACACACACACACACACCACACACACACACACACACACACACACACACACACACACACACCACACACACACCACACACACACACACACACACACACCACACACACACACACACACACACACACACAGACACACACACAGACACAGATTATAAATACACAGAAAACTATGGTGGTATATTAAATGTCCCAGATATACTGACCGTGTTCTCCTAGCTCACTGTGGGGGTTTAACACCTGAGCCTCCACCGCCTGCCTCATGGTCATTGGACCCCCGACCTTTGACCCACCACAACCACCTGATGCCTGCTTATGAGGACCAGAAAGACCTGGGAAAGTGAAGGCAACACAAGAAGGTGTTATCTTGATGTGAATTAAAAACAGAACTTGATTGTTCTTTTCGCTTGGATTGCAAACTAATTCTTGCACGCAATGCATCCTGGTAAATGTAGTAACTTCCGCCTTTCTCTGCAAATAAGGATATATTGCTTTAATCACCTTTATTTTCATCTACCACTTAAGGTTGCTTTATTTATTACTTTTCTTATTTGTGCTTCTCGGTGCCTATCAAATATTATAAATATGGTCCCTGCCTCAATGTATTTTTGAGTCAACTAAAATAAGAATAGATAAACCTTTATTGGTCCTCTTAGGCAAATATAGGTATCATAGCAGAAAAAGCAATAAGATCATTAAAGACTGTATGAGTAAATACAATAAGAAAGGTCAAGGACTGGGACTTCTCTACAAGAAAGGGCTGCACGATTAATTTACAGGATCTTTTTCTTTCTTTTCTTTTTATCAACCAAGAGTAAGTGACATGCAGTAAGTGTTTTAGTCTCCTTTGGGTGTTAATCCAGCCGAGGGATCAGGTGGAGAAGCCACAACTTCATCAGAGGTTAGTGTGTGGGGGTCAGGGGTTAATGGCACACTTCACGGCAGCTTGTATATGAGCAACGCCATGTAAATACGGAGATGTGCGGACCTTAATCTCTGGCTGGAGAACCACCAGGAGAGAGCTGACACTAGTATCAATATGAACCTGTTTCATAGTAGGAAGTTAGGTGGAACATTTGTTTCATTTGACAGACTTCAAAAGTAAATTAAGGCAGATTGTATACCTCATCTTGACTGGAAAGGAATTCTGTTAAGACACACAATGTATTCAAACAGTAGTTAAAAGGAATTCCCTGTAAGAAATACAACAGGAGTGACTCGAGGTGTTTCTGTTATAAATAATCTTACCTTTGTCTGAATTCTCAGGAATGCCCAAGCTTTTATCCTCCTGCAAGTTTATAGCAGCGATTCAGGTGCAGCAAAATGTATACAGTATATGCTGGGAAATGAATCCCCGGAGACTGGACTACACTTTCATCGAGCTGCAGGGAACGAGAGGCAGAGAGAGGGAGGGCTGTAATCTCTCCCGATCCCACTTAATCCCGGGCAAGTGAGCCGACTGCCTCTGCCCACCGGAAGCCAAGTCCTCCCTCACCGGCTGTCTTGTTTGCTGCCAAATCTTCTTAACTCTTTCAGCGGCACGCAGCAGCAGGAGGAGACCCTGAACAGAGAAGGAGAGAATCCAGGTGACACCATAAACGTCCCACTTCCAGTTCCTCGACAGGGCCCGAGTTAGAGAGATGTGTAATTTAGAGGTTGAGTAAAAGAAAAAGCCTTTAGTCTGTAATTAAAAGATCTGCTAATCTGCTGCTACAGCTGGAGTTAATGGAGAGTAGACGGCAGATAACGTATCTTTTAGTCCCTTTACTTAAAAGCTGTCAGGAATGGGGGTAATCTCCTGATTGGTAATCTTATTCCCAAGGAAATACGACAAAATCCCCCTCCATCTGAAAAGACTGAGATGCAATTAAACTACACACAGCATTGTTGATTTATCTCACCCCCAGGACCCTCATTGTTGTTTCTTTCTTACATTTTCCTTAATGCTTTTCAGCTATGGAGCCCCAACTCTTTTTTACTGCTGTATTCTGCTTAAACTTTATAATATTAAATATTCCTCACCTGGGTTATGTGTTACCTCTCTTCGCACTACTAATGGAGCCCTGAAACTGAAAAAAGATATTTAGAAGAGTCAGAATATCAATTAATTATAATGCTAGGCAAACAATATTTAAAAAAATATTTTTTTGCAACCAGTTAATTGATGAAAATAGTTTAAAACATAATAAAATCAAGTGATATTACGTCTGTCACCCACGCTACATTTCCCATTTTCCTTATGTAACGAAAACAATTATAATAAGGAGAAATTATGAAGATATTTTGTGATATTCGCTGCAAAACATCTCCATTTTTACACTTTAAGAGGACTGCAAATAATTATCTATAATTGTTTAAACATTAAGCCAACAAAATAGTGGTAACAATTTGAGTTTACATTCAGAAAAAACTGTGAGAAGCAAAAACAATCAAGCTGGAAGCAGAAAAGGCTTAGCAACAATTCAATTTGGATTATTGTTGCATTACAATTTGTAGGAATAAAACGGTAAGAGCAGATTAGGTAGTAGCAACATCCATCGAATAGTTTATTGCCCTCTGTAAGTATTTACAGGTACAATACATTGTAAAAGACAAACAAAGTGGGAGTCAGCCAGCTCGAACATCAAAGTGAGAAAACAGTCATTTGAACACAGAATGAAGGAACATTAGACCTGTTGTTAATAGTAAACATGTGTCGAGGTCATGAACCCAACATGAGCTTATGAACAATAACCTTCAGTTTATATCGATAACCATTCAGAGCGGATTTAAAATAACACTTCATGTATTTGAGTCAGTTAACCGTTTCCATAAACGTGCAGTTTTGTATGAGTAGTTTGGTTGAAAGTCAGTTTTTACGTCAATTGAAAATACCACTTTATCCTTCGACATTTAAAAAAGTCACACATTAACACTGAACATGAAGTCATGTCTCTCAGTTCAATAAAGATGTCTCATCATTTCACAATGGAGGAATGTTTTTCTTTTTGCCTCAAGTGTTGCATTTTGGGAATGAAATCCTTGAAGAAGATCGTCAGGCACAAACGGTCTCAGCAGAAAAGAGCTCAAACCGTGGAAGAGTCTTAATAATATCCTAACAGTTCGAAGCTCTGTCTTCAACATTCCCAAAGAACACACTTCTATCAGTTTAACAGCCAAAGATGAACGTTTGTAGTTAAGGACATGCAGCTTTCAATTCAAATCATTTTTTTGCCCGCTTTCCGTAGATATTAATAATCCTCTGGGGAAAAGAGCAGCTTCACCTAAATGTATCCCTTTAAAACGAGGCTTCTGATCCGCGGGCTTTGCAATTGTTAAACCATGTGAGAACACAAAAGCCATGATATTAAAAATGACGGCTGGGATCCCTCTGAATCCCCTCTTAAGCCCTTTCATAAACTCACATGTGTGACGCATATCACAAATAAGCGACATTGTCTGACGGTTAGAGCTGTAGTTTCCTGATTGATGTGCCAATTGTTCTCCCTGCCTGTAATGAACACTGTTACCGTCACAAACAGTTCATACAAACTCTTATGATTCATTTCAGGGCCATGAGTGTCTCTCAAAGTATATTTTCCTCTTGGATTTTAGTGGGAATAAAGGGGATGTGAAGCGACCTGCAGTTTACTAATCCAACAACATTACATGCATTGAGTGCATAAAACATGTTAGCATTAATTCATGTTAATTATGGCAACCCTGTTTCCAGCTTTCTGCTCTAAAATGGATTATTTGGCTTCAGAAAAGGAAGATTTTTGCTTCATATGAAAGGAACACTTACTTGTTAAAACTGAGAAACATGTGCATGTTGCTTTAAGAATCACATGTGCCAAATCTTCAACAAGTCCTGGTTGTGATTTATCTCATAGAAACTGTCAGTGTTTGTGGCGATAAATGTTTGGGAAATCGGAGTCACTGATTGGCTGCCAAACAGGAGATGTCATTTTAGAATAATAGCCAAGCCAGTTTATGTTACAGTATCAAACAGAGATACAGGTACAAAGATAACCGGGCGAGGTTAAACCATCAAGTTATCCTTGGGGTCTATTCTCTTGTCAAACGGTTTGAAAACACTTGAGGTAAAGCATGAATCATATGTATGTCAGTTGTTGAAGTTTGTTTTGTGTTAGTGGAGGAAATTGAGCTAGCTGTAAACATATCGATGTCCCGGACGCTTCGTAAATAGTGTGTCAGTTTCTTAAAGTGACGTGCTTTCAAGGGATTTATTCAGATAGTAACTGGCTGAAACACTGGAGGTTAAAAAGGAACGTTGTCTGTGCCATAAAGTGTTTGTTTCGTGCGGAAAAATAGATGTATTTCACAGAAGAAAAATAGGTGCCATATCTCACAGTGTGCAGAGAAACTCAAGAGCCAACTTGGTCCATTGGCACTGAAAAGAAAATCGTTCAAGCTTGAATTTCCTCCCAGGTAACAACGTCCCCTTCCTCAGGATTCCCCACAGGAAGTCAGTCGGACCGGTTTCAACTGGACGGCATGTAGTGGCTCAACACACACAATATTCACATTTCCATGATTCATCAGAGGGTAAAAAAAAAAAAGGAGACTGTGTGTGTTTGTGTGCCCGTCTCCATGACAGCAGCAGATGGAGCTGTGGGCAACCTGTTCATATGATCCTTCGCTTCCCATTAGTTGGTGCTCCGGTCCGTCCTCCTGAAGCCTGGCTGATCCTGGCTCTCTGGTTGGCCGAGATTGTGGGTTGGGACAGCAGGAAGTTTACGCCCAATCATTTCTTAGGTGATCTTCTCATGCTGGATCTGGTAGTAACACGCCTGAAGGTGGAGAAGACACTTTTATTCAGTATAAGAGCCATTTCAAATATATATAATAACTACTGGGGTAGAGAACAAAATGATAGTTTCCATGATAGTACATTTCTAAGAGAAAGAAACTCAGATTAAAGTAGTTAAATTACAAAGATAAACTCTCACATTTAAGAGAAAATAAACCTACAAATATTCTGTGAGATAATAAAGTCACATATTACGAGAAGAAATCGTTTGATATTTTCATTTCTATTAAATTAACCACTTTAATCTCAGAAAATGTAAGAATTGTTTGCATAAATGTACAACCTAAACATGTACTTACAATGTGTGTGTGTGTGTGTGTGTGTGTGTGTGTGTGTGTGTGTGTGTGTGTGTGTGTGTGTGTGTGTGTGTGTGTGTGTTACCTTGAGTGTGGTGAACATGATACCGTGCTCTCCGTGCTGCACGCAGGGGTCCATCAGGTCTTCAATCAGGCTGACCTCTGACCCCAAATTTCGGATTCTTAGGACGAAACATACATTTCATAAGATTCTTTAAAACTATTTTTGGAACCACACTAAACAAAACAGCTCCGTAGCAATGTAGATACAGTATATATAAAAAGTAGCAGATTATGAATTGTTTGGTAAAAGCCTGTGTGTTTTCTATCAACATTGACTCTTGGCCTACAATAAAACAAATCTCTCTGTTGCCTCATCATCATATTATTTGTGTATTAGTGTGTGATTGGGTTGGTTTTGGCGCTGACCTTGCGCGCAGCACCACGTAGAGGAAGACGGGGAAAAGGTCGTCCATGGACCACAGGAAGTCCTGCTTCAGCAGCGACTGCACGGTCTGAGTGATCTCCTCGAAGGTGAGCTGGATCACCTGCAGCTTGTCTGACGGGGTGAAGGTTGTGCTGCAAACAAACAAGAAGTATAGATTTAAAAAACAGCACTTTAGATGTGATTTCAACTCGGTTTTAAAGCTGTTCCGTACCTGATCTGTTGTAGTGTTTCCACTGCCGAGGCGAAGCAGGCGTCCTTAGTGCTGGACAGGACCTGAAGACCAGAACAAAACACCTTTTTTACTCGCAGCGGAAAAACTGTTACTAAAATACTTTGTGAAAAGATACTGTATACAAGGTTTCTACAGCTTAAATTAGCCACTCAGAACTACTTTTATTTGGTTTCAAAGGTTTCCGTTATCCAGCTCTGTGTTCATTTTAAACAAATGGCTTTAACCCATTTTTTTGTATTCCTCAATGAAGAAAAATAAATAATAAAATGCTACTTCCTATTATTTCTTAGCATTTGTATAAATTGAATGTCTTAAACTCTTTTAATAATAAATAAATATAATACATGGGATTTGTATAGCGCTTTTCTTAATGCTCAAAGATACTTTTTTTATTTTTTGAGGATCCGAGGTCCCTGGTATGAGCTAGGTATTCAAACTACTGTAGATGCAAAGTGACTTTTGATTTGAAATGAACAATTATTATTTTAGTGATTCATCTGCAAATGTTATTCTAGATTAATGGATTATCTGTTTAGTCTATAGAATGTAAAGAAATAGTGAAAAAGGGCTCAACATAAAAATAAATAAAATTGCTTGATTACTTGTAGGGATGGGTCGTTAAGGTTTTAACGGTACTACTACTTTTATCGATACCGTTTATCGATCCGGTCTTTGAACGGTACTTTTATCGTTTCTTTTGGAGAGAAAAAACGAGGTAAACTAACTAAACAAATTGTGAACAAAATTAACATTGCTTTTTATTTAAATTCATAATATTTCACATCAAAAGAAACGACAATGTTTTAGCATATCGTATTAAATAATGTGATGACAGAACTGTAAACAGAATAGCTGAAACTTTAACAAAATAAATAACTCAGTTACCTCTAATCATTAACCCATGTTTGTATAATGTAGTTAACTCCGTGTGTTGCTGCTAGCATACATAACATACCTGACCTGGAAACGTTACTCGTGGACGGGGCTACAGAGCTACTAGAAAGACAGTCGAACCCGGTGCATTTCTCCGTCTGGATGTGGAGCACTTTTGCTAAATGTTTAGACAAATTGCTCGTGTTACCGCCCTTACATGCTAAACTCTTATTGCACTTTTGGTAACGAGTATTGTCCACATCGAGACGGGTATAGTTTAACCACACCTCGGAGCGCGTTCTCTCCGCCATCTCCTCCGTGTGTGTGTGTGTAAACTGCCCCGCCCCCTCACAAGCAGGCGGGGAGAGAGATCTCTCGTCTGGATTGGAAAGATCGAAAATACTAAAAATTACGCATTTTGCAGTCTTTTTGCGTATTAGAAACGGAGTTGGCGACACTAAAACTGCAATATAATGTTTGAGTAGCAATAATACATATGACATATATTTTTTACATGTCTCCAGTACCGATAAAAAGAGCGATAACGTCGGAGCTTAACGGTAGCACGGTCTTTAATAATTCAGCCGCGGGGTCTGTTTAATACCGGGGCTCGGTACCCATCCCTAATTACTTCCCAACTAACATTTCAGAGATGTAAAATACTCTCTTTAGTTTCAAAATGACTTTAAAATATTCCTAATAAAGAAGCTGGAAGGAACCAGGGATATATTGAAATGCTCGATCAAATGTGTGACTGTAAATAAAAACTACCTTTTTTTTCTTTATCTTAAGGTAAATGTAAAACAACTTGAACCATACCTGCTGCTTCTCTGCCAGTTCAGGCATGGATGTGGGAATGGAAACCGGCCAGAACTTCCTGCGGACAGGAAGTCATTGTTTAGGGTTTACATGCATTTCACTCTTTTGTATTGTATGTTTATCCAGATTGTGACGTACTGCTGGACCCCGAGGAAGGCGAGCAGGGCGAGGTCGGGCTGCTTGTTGAGGCGGAGCACACACTCCCAGTACACGTCGTCCTCTTTCTCCTTGTCCAGAGCGTAGAGGGTGAAGAGGGGGGGGTAGAGGCGAGGGAGCAGGACGGGGAGCAGCAGAGCCGAGCTGCTCACCACACGGCTGAGGAGGAAACACACAGGAGGGTTTAACAGAGTCCTTAAAGAGGCATACACCCTGAAATAAGGCCTGTGGTTTGCCCTGTCCTTACCCAGGTTTAGGTGACTCTAGATGGGCATCGCTGGAGCCCGGCTCCCTCTTGTCCTGGAGGTTGGTGGTCGGCTCTGGAATTAGACCGCCCTCTTCTGGCAGGTCTGGGAATAAAAACCTGCAGAGCACACATAAGCACACATAGACCTATCCTGGTTAAATAAAGGTCAAATTAAAAAGTTAAATAAAATACAACATGTATATGAAATATAATTCATGAAAGCTTTTGGCAAAAATAAATAAATAAATAATTCACCTGATTAGAATAAAAAGTGTCTTTGGGTTTGAACAGGGTTTGTAAAGTTCACAACTCAACAAAATAGGTCTATGTTTTTTACACATTTTAATGCTCAAGTGTTAAATATTATAACTTTGAACGATATCCATTTTGAACATTTATTTGAATCGGGGCTATTTGCAGTAGCTTGCTGACTGAATGTTAGTTACCTGACGATGAGGAAGATGCGGTTGAGGTACGACTTGATCTCGTTGACCGCCTGAGGCAGCAGCCGACGATTGGCTCCCACGCCCACGTAGGTCATCCTGTACACCGCCACCAGGGTCTCCAGCAGCCGGCCCAGAGAGTGGAGGGGGGTGTCACACGCCTGGAGGAAGCGGAGGGATATTACTGTTACTAGACAAAATGATTTCAATGCTAAATCTGATGAATGGAGTACAGTCACTCCATTTGATGACTTCCTTTCATGGTGAAGACATCAGCATCACATTTAGATCATGATGCCTAATATTTCCTTCACATGTACAAACAGTTTACAAATATTGTATTCTTGTTTTTCTCAGTGTGGTTTTTTAAAAGTATCTCTTTTTGTATATATCCAGGACTTTAGAGGTTGAAGAAGACAGATCCTTCATTCAAGTAAAATCAGCAATACCACAATGTAACAAAATATATCCATAAGCATTACACGTTTTATTTAGGGACGCTCCGATCGATCGGTCACCGATTGAGATCGGCCGATACTCACTATCTACCGATCGATCGGTGCTCTCTAAACATGCCGATCGCGAGAGCCGATCGCATGACGTAAAATACATGACACTTTTCTCTGTGTGCGGCAAAACAAGCTCGGCAAAATGGCTTCACTTTAAATGGAAGATTTAAAGTGATGTTTAAATCTTCCATTTAGGCCCCGCCCACTCGATCGGATCGGCGATCGGTATCGGCCGATACTGATTCCGGCCCCGAAATTGGCGATCGGAGCATCTCTAGTTTTATTGAGACATATGGAAGTTAGTATCATAAGAAAAATATTCCATTAGAAAGAAATGTGTTTGACAGATCAGTTTGCACACAGTTGAGCTCACCTTGATGAGGTAGAGTCGGATGGTGTGATATCTCTCCATGGTGATTGGTCCTTCGTGCTGCGGGATCACCTCCAGACTCTCCAGGGTCCTGCTGTGACTTCGAGACAACGCTTCCGGACTGCAACACACAAAAAACATACATCACCCCCTGAAAAAAAACATGATTTTGACTGGTAAAATGAAACTACCCTGTCAGGAGTGTGTGTGTGTACCTGTCCTGGATGAGTCTCCGGCTGGTTGTGAGGGCCACGGCGATGTTCTCCCAAGCCTTCCCGTTCTCTCCTTGGCCTGGGGTCTCACAGCCCAGCTCACTCCAGCACTCCTCGAACACCGCCTGCCACTTGTCCTCCGCGCACACACACAGACGTCCCAGCTTCCTGACACACACACACACACACACACACACACACACACACACACACACACACACACACACACACACACACACACACACACACACACACACACACACACACACACACACACACACACACACACACACACACACACACACACACACACACACACACACACACACACACACACACACACACACACACACACACACACACACACACACACACACACACACACACACACACACACACACACACACACACACACGTCAATTAAAGGTCACCTATTATGAAAAACTCCCTTTTCCATGTCTTTTGTAGATAGAAATGTGTCCACAGTGTGTTAAGAGACTCTGAGAGTGTCAGGAACAAAGACCCCCTCTCTTTTTGTCCTGATCCATTTATATAAAAAAATAAATAAAATGAGCTGATCAGATTTTGGCCACTTTGTGATGTCATAATGTTTTTTGGCTTGTGTAACCATTAGCCAATCACCAACCAATCCCCCATATCACCTGAATCTCCTCCTAGAGCACCATTGTGTGTTTTTTTAACCAATCGCTTCTCAGAGGGGCGTGGCCAGCAGCAGCTCATTAGCATTTAAAGCTACAGACACAGAATCAGCACTTTTGGAACAGGGCTGAAACAGAGGGGTTTATGAGATGCTACAATGATCTGTTTCAGCCAAACACTTCAGAGACATGTTCTGTATATATATATATATATATATATATATATATATATGAGACCTATAATATATTGTTTAAAACAGTATAATAGGGGACCTTTAATCATGATCAAATGTAATTTTTCTGCACATTCTAGATTCTGTGTGAGCTTACACGTCGCGGCTTTTGTCCTTGTCCGTGTCGAACAGGTGAGGTTTGAAGTAGGAGCCCGTCACTTTGAGGCCGGAGCCCCATTCCCCGTTAAAGGAGCCCTCCAGGTAATCAGCATTTGGCATGGTGAGCACACCCTGAGAGGAGAGACAATTAGAACATTTAACTACCCTGATACACATTACTACTATTTCTTTATATGTTTTTGGTTCCTTCAATTGTGTTATTCCCCCTGCTATTTCTTTGAATTATTTGTATTATTAACTTGGGATCCAACATTTTTTAAGAATTCTTTTTTTAAACATGCTAATGGTTAAATATACACACTATATTGACATTGTGTCCATTTGTCACCTTTCCGTTGAGGGTCCAGTCATCAGAGAATTCCCCCTCGTATGTGGTGTCGTCCTCGGACAGCAGGATCCCGGTACCCTAAAACAGAAAAAACATGAGGAATTACAACAACAACAACAAATAAATATATATAATAGCTACATATGAGATTTTGTGATGTTTCCAGAATATTAAAAAAATGACAAAGACATAATCTTCACAAATCTTATATGATGAAGGTCTAGGGATCAAAATGTTTTAGAGAAGATCTGACACACCCGATTGACTGGAGTACAAGAACTTTGTAGGAAGAATCACGTTTGGAACAAATCCCAGCTTTAGCGCTGGTCTCTTAAACTGCCAAGCACAAACTGTGACTGAAATCACAGAGGAGCTCACCATCATCTTATTTTCTTTGAAGGCTCCTTCGTAATAAAGTCCAAACTGAGTGACCACGACCCCGTTGCCCTGTCGCTGGTGATCCTGCCACATGCCCATGTACTTCTCTCCTCTGGAAAAAAAAACAGACAAATGTAAAAAAACAAGATAAAGCTGAACATCTTAAATGAAACACAGTTTATAAGCTTGCCACATTTTTCTAACATAAAACGGACTGATGAGCGTACTTTGTGATATCATCGAAGACTCCGTATCCGGTCTTCTTGTCCTGCAGCCACTGTCCGATGAAGACGCTGGGGGAGGAGGTGTTGAGCTTCCCGCTGCGCAGCATGCCGTGTCCGTGTCGCATGCTGTCCTGGAAGCAGCCGTCGTACACCTCGCCGCTGGCATAGCTGCACACACAGGGGGGGGGGACGTGTATTCTCTTATGTTTGTTATCCTCAATGTGGACAAGAGTTTCTACCTCACCATTTCAAGGCACACTCACCTGTATGTCCCGAGGCCGTGCATCTTGCCGTCTTTCCAGTGACCTTGGTATTGATCGTTCTTGTTGAGCGTCTTGTTGGTAGCCACAAATTCACCAAAGCTACAAAAACAAAACACAAATAGGCATTAGGAAACAGGAGCTACACCTGGCTCATGTAAGAATGAGACGCACACATTATGCACTCACCCATCTTCCAGTCCGTTCTTAAACGTCCCTGTGTAAATTCTCCCATCAGGCCACTTCAACACGCCACTGAAAAACATCCAAATCATTGCTACACATCAAGATCACTAATCATCCCTTGAGAAGCTGCATGTTTTTTTGTTGCATTTGACTTTACGCAGTGTCAGATGACAAGATCACTTCTATTTGTTACCTCATGAGACAAAAAGGTCCCTTTGCTAAAACAGCTATAAAATGACCCTATAAATAATAATATTATCCACGTGTTTAATAATTTAAAAACCGAAATGAGTCCTGTTGATCAAGACCAAATATCCATTCATATCCTGATTTATTTTCGCTTCAAATGCCAGCAATATCCCCCCATAAAAACACAGACATAGCATGTATAGTAAAAGGTACAAATTGAAGCCATGGCTTTTGATGTAAAGCGGGATATAATAAAGTGCATGATTTTCTGCTGTAATGTCCGTGGGATAAAAAAAAACTTGTTTTAAAGGGTTAAACATTGCTGCAAAAGATTTTATACTTTATAGGCACTGAGGTTTAACTTCCAAAAAAACTCATTTGAATGTATTTCATATGCATTACCACAGCCAATACTATGAACAACTTAAAAGCCAGAAATGTTTCCATTTAGGCAAAAGGATACAAATATTTGACCCATATGCAGACGTGTAGTGTCCCACCTGCCGTTGGGCTTCCCTGAGAGCCAGTGCCCTCCATACTTGGCCTCTTTCAGCCGCCCCTCCTTACAGAAGGTGTAGGAGGCGGTCCTGGAGACGGGGGGCTCCGTCTTCTGACTGGACCCGGAGCCGATGGAGGCGGTGTCCTGCCCCGCCCCGCCCAGCGCCTGCTCCACCGCCTGGTTGATGGAGCGGAGCCACTTGGCCTGGGAACGGATATAGCACAGTTTTTAAGGAGTGGTAAAGGTTATATGGAGAATGGAGACAGGGTTACACGTAGAAATCATTTTATTATAACCAAAGGAGAGAAAATCAGTAGCTTTAAAGGATTCACCTTCTCCGTGGGAGAGGACGCGAGCAGGGCAAACGTCTCCTCTGGTGTGATCAACTTTAACCCATACCTAGACACACACACACACACACACACACACACACACCACACACACACCACACACACACACCACACACACACACACACACACACACACACACACACACACACACACACACACACACACACACACACCACACACACACACACACAACACACACACACACACACACACACACACACACACACACACACACACACACACACCCACACACACACACACACACACCCACACACACACACACACACACACAACACACACAAATATAAGATTTAGACATGAATAGGGTTGTTTGCTGACTTTTGTCATAAATACAAGTGAATATCTTTGTGTTTTGTACAGACAAAACAAGAGATATACAACCTTGATCTGTAAAGATGAAGTTAGACTAAGAACATGTGCCTCTCATAGGTTTCAAAACGTTTTAAGATCTGGTATTCCTGATGGTATTTGTCAGTACAACACAAAAAAACAATAATCTATTAATCAGACTCACGGGCCGCTGTTCTCCTCTGGGATGGGCTCCACCCAAAGTGTGGCCAAGGGGAAGACATGATGGGTGGAGAACTGGAGGAGAAACAGGCGTGGAGAATGAGGAAAGAGGGGAGAAGTAAGTGTTAAGAAAGAGAAATAAACATCATTAATATTTGTTATGAATGGTACCACATTGAGAGACATGTAAAAGGTGTGTATTGACCTTACACACAACCGAGCAGTTAACTACAGCCTTCTCCATAAGCATGTCATAATTGAGAGGAAAAAATGTCTAAGGAAATTGACTGAAATATATTTAAATGTAGCAAATTAAATACCTCTTCTACCTAAAGAACATTTACCAGAAATAACAGAAAATGAATAATAGTTAGTATTTAATTTGGATACCTTGGAGACCAAGGGAAGACAGATTTAACGGGGAAGAAAAGGTATTTAATTAAAAGAAAAGTACAATAAACAAAAAGTAAGGAATTAATTTCATACAATAAATAATTTTAAAAAACACCTAATTATACTTTTGGAGAATAACATCATATATTTGAAGCATCCTGTTTAAGATGAACCTAAGTGATGTCAGGGCCATGCAAGACATGTGCAGTATTATGCATTCATGCAACACCATCACAAGACACGCAGAACAATCACAGTCCACAGCCACTTCTTTCTCAGCTTCAGTTTTACAACCTGCTTCAGGAACTTGAAGTTAACATTTCGGTTTTCACCTTCAGAGGATTTCCTTTTTACAGACGTTCCTTTTGTCAAACAATGAGTCACACAGTCAAAAAGGATTGGGAGGGGAAGACAAAGAGGGGGGATGCAAATGGGAAGAGAGAAACTCAGGAAAAAAAGAGAAACCGGGAGAAGAGGGAAGGAAACTGCTTTGGAGGAATGAACCAGTAACTGTAGGCAACCGTTATATAACAGCAGTAAAACAGGAATGTAGTGCTTTTTAACAGTTTCCAAGCTGGATTGGTAGCAATGAGGCAACAGAAGAGCAACACATAACGTATGAGAATAAAACTAAATGGTTTTGTTCATTTGTCCATGCAGGTAGAGAGCAGACGGAGGAGGAAGGTGGGGATAGGGCTGCGTACCAGCGGACATTTTGAATCAGCACTCTGGTTGTTATCTCCTATTTCTTACAGTCAGCATTAGAGGGGAAATATTTGGAGCGATTCATATATTTTTGAGGATTCATACGGCATGAATTATTATTCCTGAAACAATGTGACAAAGTTTCTCAATTTGTAAGTTATTTCATTTGATGGATAAGCCAGAAAACAAACAGAAAAAAACAACGTAATGTTATAAATATAGATTTTCCAGAGTATGTAATATAACATCAGTTAATGTATGGACAATCAAAGTAAACTGGGGATACAAATAAAGTTTCAAACATCTATCTAACAACACTTGTGTCCAATTATTTAAACAAAGAGATGTGTTTTAGCGATGGTTCATATATTTGGTGCCAAATTAACGCTCAGATGTTTTATGCGTGTGTGTATGTCATGTGTTTTAGGGCTGAATCCTATGACACAGAGCCCTGAGCCCTTCGCACACACACACAGAAGAAAAGGGTACATGGAGGGGGGGGGGGGGTAAAGGTCGCTGAGCTGACATTTGCTTCTGGCTGCATACTTACGAGATTTTTACAAGGTGACACGCCCTGACAGCACGGAGGCAAGCACACACAAACGCTTAAAACACACCGAGTTACAGAGCCCGAAGGTGATGGCTTCAAACAGGTAAAAGGACATGATGGAAAGTGTGTGTGTGTGTGTGTGTGTGTGTGGAGCTCACCTGCGCGTGGACCAGAGCGTCGTTGAAGACGATGAACCAGTTGACGGAGAACCTGCCGGCGTTCTGCAGCGTCAGCGCTTTGTTGCTGCTCTCGCAGATGAGCCGGCGATGAGGCTTCCTCAGAGAGTCCTGTCGGAAAAAAACGTTCAGCAAAACGTGACATCACGTGACCCTTCCAGGACTCATTGTGAAGGACACACACACTCTGGGAGTTTACCGTCATTTTGCCGGGGAAGCTCTTCCAGAAGTGGAAGGTGTATTCGGCGTCCTTCCTCTTCCTCTTCAGTTTAAGAGCCAACGCTTCGAAGCTGGAGCAGCTGTCCTGCAGCCTCTGGTAGTCATCGGAGCTCTGAAGGAACACACACAAACACACAGAAATATTCAATGTAGAATGTGCTAAAAAGAGGCAGATTCTGGTGATTTTACTGATAGAAATATACGCACATTTACAAAGATTTGAGCTCAAAATCTCAACATTTTGAAAGCATTTAAGATTCCAACTCATTAACCTGCTTTTTAAAATAATCTAGAGAGCTTGTTGTGAGTTGTATGTGTACTAGGAACTATTTTCTTTCTACCAAACTAGTAGCATGGATTAAAAGTAGCACTATAGGTAAGAGAAACCATTTATGCAATTATGATTTTGGGGTGAACTGTCCCTTTAAATGTAGGAAAGAAAAACACTAAGGATAGATATAGATAGATAAATGCTTGCAAATAATCTTCAAATGAAACACATACTGTAAAGTATACAACCACATGTGTCTATCTTCCATCAGTGGTCAATTATAGTCACATAACATTTCAAACATTAGGCATACCAACAGAAGTACAGCATGCTTGTCGTTGTGTTTGTCTGACCCACCACTTCAAAGCAGGTTGCCAGTTTGAGCAGCAGGCGGCCGTACTCTTGCATGTGGCGAGTCGGGAGGTAGAAGAGCGCCCCCAGCAGGTCGGCCACGGTGGGGGTCTCCTCGCTGCACTCAGACAGCTTCTTCAGCAGCTCGGGACTCTTCCCAAATAAGTCTCTGCAGAGGAAATCAGCAAGAGTTGATCATGTGATTTACTCAGCATTTACTGTCATATTGTGTGTGTGTGTGTGTGTGTGTGTGTGTGTGTGTGTGTGTGTGTGTGTGTGTGGCCTAGCATTACTATACTTGTGGGGACCTAAATCTGTTTACAGTCACGTGTGGGGACTCGCCTCCCTTATGGGGACAAATTGAAGGTCCCCATAAGGGGAATCATTAATTTTAGGGTGAAGACTTAGTTAGGTTTAGGGTTAGAGTTAGGGTAAGGGTTAGGTTAAGGGTAAGGGTTAGGGTTAGGCATGTGTTGGTTATGGTTAAGGTTAGGAAAAGTCTCCAGGAAATGCATGTAAGTCAATGTAATGTCCCCTGAAGTGATGTATGCATGGTATGTGTGTGTGTGTGTGTGTGTGTACTCACATTGAGGGTTTGGTCAGGGTCTGGAAACCCCCCATCACTTGCAAGTTGTCCACAGCGCTGCAGTACCTTTCATTTTAGAGACAATATTACTTTTAAAATAACTTTTTAACTGTTTACAAAGTGCTTCACAAAGATATGGAAAATGAAAACTAACAAGTCATAAATAAAGCAATGAATAAAAAAAGCCTAGGTTAGAAAAGGGAAAGCTTTTTAAAATATAGAAAATTAAATTAAAGTAAATCAGGGAAGGCTCTTTGAAACACGTGTTTTGGAAAGGCACTCAAATGGAAGAAATATGTTGTTTTTGAACGTTACATATTCTACTGTACACATACTATTGTCTTATACCACTTGAATGTGTGCAGCAGAAAGAACAAGAGAAGCCCTGAAAAGGTGTTATTTTTGCTTCAAATGTCTCTATTTCTGAAAGCTTACTCGCTGTAAGAGTCGAGGAAGATGTCGGCGTGTTCGAGGACGAGGAGGCTCTTGACGTCACGGACGCGCCGCAGGTTCCCAGTGAGGCTGGCGGCGTGCTGTCCGGTCAGGTGACACAGGAGACTGAACCTACCCGCCACCGTCTGCAGCAGCCCGAGGACCACCGGACCCAGGGCCGAGCACAGGGAATCTGGAGGAAGACAGGCAAGGAAATATATTTACCCAAAGAGATTGAGAAATGTGGTTATAGGCGTTTTTTCGGTGTCTTTCTAGTACCTAGCTCCAGCAGGGGGCGTATTATCTGCGTCTTGATGTTGCTCAGCTTGCAGTAGAACTTCCTCTCGGCGGCGGCGAGCTCGTGGAGGCTGGCGATGAAGCCCATCACGTTCCTGTCCAGCAGCACCACGCAGCGCTGGCCGCCGGCAAACACGTTGCTCACATAGCCGAGCTGCAAACACGAGAGAACCACTTTTACACCGAGTGATTGTTTGTTTTGCATTTATTCTTTTTAAATTCCAGTAACTTACGTCAATGCAGAAAGGGAGCAGTACAGGCTGCCGGGTGTAGCCCCCCGCCCTCTGCTCCTCCTCCCCCCCCTCCTCCTGCTGTTGACCCTGCTCCTTGGTGTGGCTCTCCTCCGCCCCCTCCTTCACCTGCTGCCCACTGTAGTAGATGATTGGCCGGTAGCAGTCTCCGTCTGCGAGCAGCAGGGTGTGTTTCTCTCCGGCGCTCACGTCCCAGACCCGGATCCCCTCTGATAGCTGTGGGAAGGGGGGGGGAGATTAAAGTGTATGCATTTATCTGTGTCTTTATGTGTGTTTGTAATGGAAAGGAAGTTTGTTTCTGACCTTTGCGAGCCGGGGGACGGTGCTGGGTGACTCCGTGTGTCCCAGCTGACCAGAAGTGTTACTTCCCCAGGAAAACACCTCAAAGATTTGGCAAGAATGAAGCATACTTTATTTTTATACTGAGGTGAGTCAGTTCAAAGTGTTTAAAGCAAAAACAAATAATCTATTTGAGACCGATGCACAACAAACCATGAAATGATCAAAATGATTTAAAACAGGATTAAAAGATATAATAACAGAAAATATAATAAAAATAATTACAAAAATAAGTAATTAATTATTTTTGAATTTAAATTGGAAAATATTTTTAGAGATACGCCATGAATACAAATAACAAAACAATAGAAAATCATATTATGATCAATACATTTTCAAAGGAAAAAATGGTTCTTTGCAGACTGGTAAGTAAGGCAACAAATAATTCAATTATTATTTTTATTTTTTTATCGAGGTCCCTGGCTCACCTGAGACTGAGCAGTGAGAGCGAGGGAATGGTGAGCGCCGGCCTCCACCCGCACCACCTCCTTACTGTTCAGACTCTTGATGCACAGAGGCTGTAACCTACACACCACACACCACACACACACACACACACACACACACACACACACACACACACACACACACACACACACACACACACACACACACACACACACACACACACACACACACCACACACCACACACACACACACACACACACACACACACACACACACACACACACCACACACACACACACACACACACACACACACACACACACACACACACACACACACACACACACACACCCACCACACACACACACACCACACACACACACACACACACACACACACACACACACACACACACACACACACACACACACACACACACACACACACACACACACACACACACACACACACACACACACACGATTACTGGCCAAAATATGAGTATATTTCTGGAAATGAAATGTACAGCCTGTTTAAGACCACATTATTCATTTCTCACTACATATAGGGCAGGGGCGTCCAAAATGTTTTCACTGAGGGCCACATATAGAAATTATAATATCAAGAGCTGGTTTATTGCCTCATAAGTTAAGTTATAAGTTAGCAAAATCAATGAAATGTAAGTAAATGATGCTTGATAATAGAATATGCTTTTAGAAAAAAACAGCCTACATCACAGCTCTCTATAGGGTTTCATTTATTTAGTTACAAAGTGTATAGAAAGGGTATATTTCAAGCTTTTTATGCAAATGTTGGGCTTTTATATCTACTTTAATTTACTGAATTTATTTGTAACTTCGGCTTTATTAACACTGACATAACAACAACAATGAAAACTGTGTAATATATGTTTTCATATATATTTAAGAAGCAATATAAGACAATGTTCATATTCCATTGTTCTTTTGCTGAGGGCCAATTCAAAATGGACACCGAGCTGCAGTTTGGACACCCCTGATATAGGGCAATAATGTTTTGCAGTGACAAGAGACTTCCTCCAACCTGGCCAGATTGTCTCCATGCCCCAGCTGTCCGTCCTCGCCCTGACCCCAGCTCCACACCTCCGTCTGCAGGGTGGGGAACACCTCCTGGGCCTCAGGGAACGCCCCCCCCAGAGGGGTGAGGTCCACTGCACGCATCCTGGGGCGTCCGGCTCTCCTCAGCAGCCGCGGGGACACTGCGAGTGCACAATAATGAATTAAATGCAGTTTATTACAAACATTTCAATTCAACAGTTTTCTTTGTTTTTGATAAACAGGAATGGAATTAAAAATTGTAATTGGGAAAGTTACTAAAGTTGTAAATGTAGTAAAAAGTACAATATATGCATCTGAGAAACAGAGAATTTGAAGTATAAAAAGGAGCATAAAAGAGAAATACTCTCCGATTGAATGTAAAATATGACTGGATTCATCTCAGGTGCAACGTTCAGAAGAAATCAATATGTGTGTTCAAAACCAAAACATAGCTGCACAGAAGCATCAGTGACGCTCAGAGAACGAGGTCACACCAAAGGTCAAACAGCAGACACACAGGGAGAGGCAGCCTGCAGAACAAACACTGATGCATGATTGAAACTACACTGAGGCCCGGAAAAGTGTCTGCTAATATTTTGAACCAGAACATACTGTATGCATATAAGCGTTTATCCAGGCTGTAATTTAATTCCTGGAAGTGAGGATTTTGATTGTCATGTTTTAATTGTACTAAAGAGTCTTCAGGATTTGTCCAAAGATTTCCTCATTACATTTGATGTATTAGCCTTAAAGGTCCCATGACATGTCCATTTCTACTGATCATGATTCCATTGTTGAGCTCTACTAGAATAGATTTATATTGTTCCAAACTCACATTGGTTTCTCATATCTCTGTATAGTATGTGTATTCACTCTCTGTCCTAAACGGCTTGTTGGAGCTCCTGCCCCCCCCCCTCCCTATGAGCCCACTGTGCTGATTGGTCAGCTCGCCCACTCTGTTCTGATGTGTCCACCACCGTTACAGCGGAACATCAGTGATTATGTGTTACAATGGCGTTTGTTGGCAAACAGAAAATGACACCAGTAAGGACAAACAGATGAGAATGCTGCGTGGGGTCTGGGTGCCGTGTTGGGGGGACGTTGCGGGGCTCGCTGCTTCGCCCTTTAAGGCTCGAGGAGCGGACAGTGTGAGCTGGGTTACTGGTGTGGTTTCCTGGTTGCTGCCTGGGGTCTGCGAGACAGCGAGACACGGTGAAACTCAGCCTGAGCACACACACTCACAGCCAGGCTGTGACTGTGAGTGTGTGTGTGTGTGTGTGTGTGTGTGTGTGTGTGTGTGTGTGTGTGTGTGTGTGTGGGGCCTCGCAGCTAAAAAAAAAAAAGATCATTGTGACCAGGAAGAAACTAATGGAAAAAGAGAGATCTCCAACGAGGCGTTCTGGGGCAGCACAGACAGGTCTTCTCTGTGTTAGAGTTTTACTCCCTACAGCAGGGGTGGCCAACCCGCGGCTCTCGAGCCGCATGCGGCTCTTTGCCTAGTTTCATGCGGCTCTTCAGTTCATATCGAATTGTAAATGTGTGAGTTTAGGGGAGAGACACTGACTCCTGACTAGTGTTGCACGGTGTACCGATACTTGAAAGGTATAACGCGATACCCTGCCGTTAAAAACGTTACGATTCTTAGGCCTATCGGTAGGCCTACTTTAAGAATGACGGGGAAAAGTACTCCGGTGAGAAAGCGCCGTTTTAATACGAGCCGTGTGTTCAGCGCTCTGCTTCCAATCCCTGCACTGCAGCCGTGCCTGCAGTCCCGCCCCTCTCAAGCACGTTCTAAGTCCCTCCCCTCTCTCGTGCACGCGCTTGCTGCCAGAGCATGTGAGAAAACGAGAAGCATGGCTGCAAGTGGGAGTGCAACTGCCGCTGCGCCTCGGCTTGTTGACAAAAAAGACGCCAGAAGCGACATTTTGATGTATTTTAGCGATATCTCTGACAGTGAGGGCAAGCCTACGGACACCATGAGGCCTGTCTGTAAGACATTTATTAATTGTATTTAATACGAATTCTTGTCATTTATTTTATTTATTGTTCTCATTGTTTACAAGGTTGTGTTATGGTTATGGTTCTGGTGTGAAATAAAGCACAATAATTACATTTAAGACTGTTTCCCTTTTTTAAAGAAAAGTATCGAAAAAGAATCGGAATCGCAATTCTTGACTTGGTATCGAAAACAAAATGTTGGTATCGTGACAACACTACTCCTGACAGTTAAACCTGATATTTAGTAGGTCTGTTAAGTATTGAATGTTGATAATTCTGACATAATTTGGCCGGTCAAAGTTATTTTCGTCCCGTGTTACTTTCGTCCCGGCTCTCCCCCATCTCCCCACGTATGTGTGGTGTCAGGTGTCAGTAGGAGAGGATGACAGCGCGAGCGCGTCTAATTTTGATGTGGCCCAAGAGCCAATCACAATAATACCTGCGATGCAGTGAACCAATCACCTTTGAGGGGGGGGAAACCTATCGTTGATTAAACACTATCCAGTGTTTCCCCTACCATTGTCTTGGAGGGGCGCTGCGCCCAAAAAATATATATCATTTTTTTAAAAATATATATAGCACCAAATTGCAAATAATCTATAACTACTGTCACTTTTCACATTGAACATGTGCTCTTTTATTAAATAAACTAAACGCTTTCATTTTAAGTTGTGAGTTTAGTGTTTTTGACCCTAAAAAACACTGATGCATTAATCAATAACAATAATCCACAGCTCCTCTCTCTGCTCCAGAGGATTTAAAAAATATATATCCCAATGCCACAAAAATGCATCAGTGACGTGGTTGAAATCTTGTCTACAGAAAACAAAAAACTGAAACAAGCGGTATCAGTGACTGTGTGTTTGATGTGGCTCTTTGCAGTAACATAGAAAAAATGTGGCTCTTAACCTCTGACTGGTTGGCCACCTCTGCCCTACAGGGTGTACTTTGAGGGTTTGTGACTCTGCAGACCGTTTACATGCATACAAAGCTACAGAACACACAAGGGGACGGGTGATAACCAGAAAAGTATGACATGGGCCCTTTAAAAATGTACTCGAATATATCCCAAAATGAGGATAGCCCAAACACAGACGATGAAATCTACAGCGAATATCTAGGCATTCTATGAGGAACGAAGTCCATTCTTTTATTTATTTTCCATACCTGCTTGTGCTTCTCAGGGGTCGCAGACAAGCTTTTCCCATAATGCACCTATTCTCTCTTCTAATCACCCAAACTCTTTCATTCTGCTCCTTTAAATCTGCTTGATCATTGAAACCCCTAAATATCAATCTGCATTTCCTCAGTGTTTTAATCCCACAAAGGAGACCACTCAGACCCGCTGAGTCTGCAGGACACAAAGACTAAGTCCTGGGTCAAAACTTTGCACCTGTGTTTTTGTCCATTTAGCCCTCATATGAGTTCATTCATAGATAATCATTAGCCTCACGAAAGACAGGTTCTTTGAGCAGGGACTAGAGACCGGGGTATTCGTGAACACTATCACGACAAGTGAAATTGAAATAAGCGGTAAACTAGATTTTTGTAAACTGAAATACTAAAACAAATTGTATTTATTAAAACAACTAACGTAAAAACAAAACCCAGTTAAAAACAAATAAAGCCATTGTTTTTAACCCTTTAAAAGTGTTTCACTATAATATATGACTGCAGGAAAAATATATAAAGAATGAAACTTAACTACAAATCAAATCTGAAACTAAACCAGAACAAAAAGTCAAAGTACACCTTTCTGAAAAAGTGAAACTAAATAAGAACTACATTAACCTGAAACCAAGCGACGAACACTATCAATCACATTCAAAAAACATGAACGATGATCTGAATCATTCTAAAGTCAAATAATAACTTATAGAACATTCAAAGCTATAATACCCTTTGTCAGTATAAGGCAGTAGGATCAATTACAATAACTGAAGAAGTTATTCAAAGTACAGAGAAGGCCTTCAGGAAGAAATCCTGTTTTAAAGTAGAGGACATACAAAGAACACAAAAAGACACACACAAAACTACACACACACACACACACACACACACACACACACACACACACACACACACACACACACACACACACACACACACACACACACACACACACACACACACACACACCACACACACACACACACACACCACACACACACACACACACACACACACACACACACACACAACACACACACACAACACACACACACACACACACACACACACACACACACACACACACACACACACACACACACACACACACACACACACACACACACACACACACACACACACACACACACACACACACCACACACACACACACACACACACACACACACACACACACACACACACACACACACACACACACACACACCACACACACACACACACACACACACACACTACACACACACACACACACACACACACACACACACACACACACACACACACACACACACAGTACTTACGCAGCAGGGTATAGGAGTTGGATAAGACGTGAACGGCGTATCTACCCTGAGAGAGGAGTCCCGGCAGAGAGAGGCGGCGGCGCAGACCCTCCGCCTCCTCCTCGCGGATGTCCCCGGTGCTGGAGCTCTTCTTGGCCTGGGTGGAGTCTTCGAGGCGGACGCGCTCCGCGGTGGTGTCGCCCACCAAGACCCCCGTTATCCCTGCGGGGACGCCGGACCTCGCCACTCCTGAGGGGAGGTAGGTCATCATCTTCTTCAGCGACAGGGCCTCGTAGGTGGAGGCGACCCGCTCCCCCACTGCGGAGGCGCAGGAGGCCACCAGGCTGTTGAGGGTGGAGCTGGAGGAGGTCAGAGCCCCTGCTGAGGGCTGGAAGACAGACACACAGCAAATGGTAATATAAGAGATTCACATTTATTGATTAAGCTAACACTGATGTTATTTTTTCCCTACAGTCTAACTCTCCTCCAGCTGTTACCTTGGTGACCTGCTCGGCCTCCGTCAGCTTCTTCAGGTATTCTTTGACGGCCTGCTCATCTGGATACGGTGAACTCTTGACCCCCGAAACCCCTCCTTCTTTAGATTCAGCCGAGGGGTCAGAGCCTGAGGCTGGGGGTCCTCCATTTGCGAGTGCTGACTCCTGTTCTCTCTCTGAGTCCTGAGCGGGGTCAGAGAAGGGGTCAGGGGAGGGGGAGGTGTGTGAGGGGAGGGGGGGCTCTGTTTTGAGCCCTTGTGTAAGAGCAGGGGCCTCGTCCTCCGTCAGCTCTACCCCGAGGGGGCAGTAGTGCCCGTCAGAGATGATGACGTGGTCCTCCTTATCCGTCATGGTGTACAGCATCTGGTGACACTGTCTGCATTTGTCCACAGGGGGCCGGTGGAGGTCCTGGGGGCCCAGGCAGCGCACCAGAGCCAGGCTGTGTGAGGCCCCGCAGGCCACCTGTAACACACACCTGCCCGCCAAGTGCTCCACCTTCTGGGGTTTCCAGACGGGGAAGACGGAGACGTTGAGGCCCAGCTGAGAGCCGCTGCCCCAGGCCCACACCTCCCGCTGCGCCGACAGAGCCAGGGTGTGCCCCCCGCCGCAGGCTAGCTCCAGCACCGGGACCGTCTGCGGGGGGGCATTGTCGGAGTCCAGCAGAGCGACCGGAGTCGGGTTGGGGACGCTGCTGAGGCCCGAAAGGCCGCACTGTCCCGAGCTGTTGTCGCCCCACATGTGGACCCCCCCGTCCTCCGTCACCGCCCCGCTGTGGAAGCTTCCGGCTGCGACGCTGACCACCCGCTGCCCGCTGAGCGCCCCCTCCAGGGTGGGCTTCGACGGCTCCGACACCTGACTCTGCTTCCATGGTAACTCCCCAAAACTGTACACCTGCCCTCCTGAATTTGGAGCAACAACAGCAACAAAATCAAAAGATGATAATGGAGGTTTTCTTATGAAACGTTTTAGAAAGCAGATATTTAGAGGAAGCTATTATGTCATGAACATCGTCCTGGATCCTATATTATATTCATTTTGTTGTTAATATTTAAACAAATTAGACTTTATACGACTTTGTTTGCAATTTGAAAAAAGGACATTTAAATACCAGTCCAAAGAATGAGGATTTATCTTAACTACAGTAATAGAGCCAAAACATTTGAAAGACATGTCAATGCAACTACTCTAAAAGATACATTAAAACAAAAACCTTACCTTCAACCAACAGAACGCCATGCCGTGTTCCCAGGGCGACCTGAAGGACCGGCCCAGGGAGGAGCAGCCTTTCTGGGGTGACACTGCAGGAGTAGCCCTTCCAGGTATGGAGCAGGCCTCGCTCTCCACCACCGTCATCCTCGGAGCTGAGAGAGACATCAACAACAAACAGAATTAGTCAAATCGAAATAAAATAGAAAAGGGGGCATATCAAAGTCCAGAATACCGCAAAAGCAAAGAAACAAACCCAGAGTAAATATAATGTAATATTGCAATATAAGAAGAGTATTGCACTTCAGCAAATGTACTTTTTGCACTAGCATAAACAGACTAAATAGGCAATATAACATGTACTTTTACACCATGAAAAGTAGAGTTGGAATCACTCATTGGAAAATATAGCATGTCAATCAGATTTGTAATGAACCATCAGGTGCCAAAATGATGGAGGATCTTCCCAAACTATTTGCTCATCTTTTGTAAACTGTATGAAAGGCTAAGGGCTGCTAACAGAAATGTCATGAGAACATAATGTCCTTCATTCAGCAAACCAGACAGCAAATACAGTATTGGGTCAAACACGAGTGAAAGTACATAAAGCAGAACTCAGTCCCCTCTCCTGTGCAGCATCTGAACAACAGATGTGTTGTGGGGGAAAGCAGAAGTGTGCTCCTGTAGGCGGCATCACATGGGGGTCACACCAAGCCTGCCAGCAACAACATGTGTCGAGCAGAATAATCCTCTCTTAGAGCCACAGATATACCTCTTCCTCTCCATCAGGGGGTTTATGTCTCCATTTTTGACGCTGCTGCTGTCGAACAAAACACACACCATTAGCGGGAAACCGTCATGCTAGCTTTAACGTTGCTGTCAATGCATTACAAAGTCAGTTTTCCTTTCCTTTTGAAGGAGAAAACAACAACAAAATGAGTCCAAATTAAAGCAGTAATGGTTTCCTTTTCAAGTGTTTTAAAATACTTGTACATGCTTCATTTACTCCCAAATTATAACATACATTTTTGCTACCTGTGGCAGGTGTCACCATCTGTCACTAGCTGTTGTGAGCTAGATAACTGTCAAAAGCTAAAGATAAGCTAATCAGCTTGCTAACTAGCCAAACCTCTAGCTAACCACAGGTGTATTTTTTTCATATAAAATGTCCTCTTTCTTACCAGCTGCCTTCACACAGCTCTCCTTTATGTGCTCGGTCGGACAGGAGAGAAAAACACACGTCTGTTATTAAGTTGTTTAGCAGCTAACCGCCGCTGCTTGTTGTTCATCTCTGTAATGTTGACACTGCCAAAGATCGTCTGTAAACAGAAAATCACGCTCACAAGGGTCGTTCTTTCGCTTTCAAGCTATTACAGCCGTACACCAAAACAGCAGCACAGTGAGACCTCTCTATGTTTAGCTACTCTTGGATTTTTTTAGGCTTTGAAGCTAGCTGGAGTTGCTCGCTGACCCCACCTGGTGGCGGAAACCGTGCAGCACAATCGCAAACTTTTATACACGGAACAAATCTAACAATATGAAAGTGAATCTTACGTTTTGTGTATTTTATATGTTTATTTCCTTTTTAAAATCACTTATATTAGTGGAAAATAACAATAAAAAATGGTTTTGTATATTAGAAATTGATTTAATTGTATGTATTTAGTTGTGTCATTTTTATATTTTTCAGTTTTAGATTAGTTAATTGAATTTCTCTGTATGCATCTGATCGTATTAGTCCATTATGAATATTTTTCAAAGCCACCACAGTGAAGTAGCCCAGCCCCAGAAACAGTAACCGTGATTTGATCTCACGCTGATGACTGTTATAATTATAATGTATAGGCTACTGGGAGGGTGTCTAATCCAGCTGTATGAAAACGAACCGGGACTGCATGAGATGAACAATGGTAGAACAAACGCGGAATAGTTTAAGGACAAACTGAGCTTTGATTTAAAAAAAATTGGAGTTTATTTATATTGATTTAAATGGAGCTGAAAATACATTTCACCCGGATTTTAGCGCTATTCCTCCTCTGGATCTGCATCATCTCCGGTGAGTGGGATGGACAAATGTCCGCAGATTAAATTATAACATTTGAATCGAGATGCATCAGCAATGGTTTTCTTATTAAAAAAAACAGTTTTAATGTTAATGTGGCAGGGTGGTGTGTTTGAGTGTTAATATTATACTAAATAGGGTCTTTTAACACAACACAAGAAATCAGGACACAGGCTCTTTAACTGAGGGGCAGAGACGTGTTTCGAATTAAAGTCATTTGTATTTTAATGCAATCAAAAGAAAATGAAACTCAGGAAATGTTGCTATAAGATAAACTCGTTGGTTAGAAAAACAAGAATTATTCAGTTTTAAATTATCTTTATTTTAGTAAGTGTTAAAAATGTGTACCTAAAATGTAACACTAAAAGTCTATATAAGCAAATCTAAAGTAGAGCTGCATTCAGGAGCACTTAATATCAAGACCTCCTGTGGTATGAAAACACGTTTATGAAATGTACTCAGTCAGGAATATATATATTTAACATTTCCAAGTACTTTTAACAATCTAATTGTCATACTTCTGCAGTATTATTATAAAAAGGGTGTATCAAGTCAAATATGTCTAATGTTCACTGTCATGTATTCTTTGAGTGATTTTTATAGACTTCCCAAAATATATGTTGTTATAATTCTTCATGGTATTTGTACATTCTACGGTATAATATGGGCAGTTTTAAAACCATGAAGGTAACGAAAAACATACAATTTTAATATTGTTGTCTATCCATCGTTTTATTACAGCACTATTCAATTCAATTCAAAACCTTTATTTATCCAGGTAAAATCCCATTGAGATCAATGATCTCTTTTTCAAGGGAGACCTGCAGCAGTAGGTTCCACAAGAAGACATAAACAACAGAACAACAAAAGGACATCATACAGCAAAATGTACAGGGATTACAATTTACATATTTAACCACAAGTACAGGTACCAACAGCATCTGATTTTGTAGCATCCAACCGAGCTTTAAAAACATGTAGTGGTACTAGCTTGGTAATTTTCCATTATTTTTGCAGACTGTTCCATGTTAGTGGAGCTGCACATCTAAAAGCTTTCTTCCCTAAGACAGTCCGAGCACTTGGCACATTTAATAAAACCACAGCATGCGATCTCAGGCAATAAGTACTTTCAATTCGCAGAGAGATCAGGGAGCAGATATAAGATGGTAGTTTATCCAACATGGCTTTGTAAATGAAAAAGTACCAGTGACTGAGCCTCCGTACAGTAAGTGATGGCATAACCGCCTTGGTATACAGGGTACAGTGATGCGTAAGTGCTTTACAATTTGTCAAAAATCTCAGTGCACTGTGATACGCAGCATCTAACTTGCTCAGGTAATTGGCAGGTGCATTCATATATAACAAATCACCATAATCATATGAATATGAATGGAAACAAAACAAAAGACACAGATTCAAACAAACAAAGACAAAACCATTTAAATAAATGAAACAGATGTTCTGCAGAAACTTGAAGCATGCATTCAGAATACAAAAATAATAATGTTTATAGTACATAATATCAAAGACGCCTCTACATTCAGACCTATCATCAAGACAAGTGAAGGAGCAATTTGATACAGCTGGAGAATTGAATAAATTATTAGATATAACAGGTATAACAAATACAATATGGAGTTTGTGTGCAGTGATACGTTTTGGACAAAATCCTGCATCGTAATCCAACAAGTTTCTCTTCCACCTGAAACATAATTTTCTCGGGTATAAATAGGCAATATATTCACAAACACTGGCATTACACACATTTGCACAGTTTGTGTTTTTTGCACAAGCTAATCCTAAATAGCTTTCCGGTGATGCCAGATCTCGCCTGCCAGAGAGGAGGCAGAGAGATTGCTGAAAAGAGGATTTTAAAATTCATTTAACCTGCATGACAAATCAAATTAACACGGACACAAAAGGTTGAACACTTGGACTCAGAGAGGTTTATTTCAAGCATGAAATTATGAATCTGATGAGTGATGGCTGCTGGGAAACTTGGCTCAGAGTTGATTTTTAACTTCACTTATCTCTTAGTGACTTTGCTGTGTGGCATAAAATGAAATCGAAGTGCAGTGTTTGACCGTGGGACATTTTATGAACAGTAAAGATACGGTAATTGCTTTTCCCCCGGAGAATAGACACTGATACTCATTTGTTCAACTGTAATGCCTTTGGTTGAGCATGAAGGGGAATAAAGGAAATAGCTCTTTAAACCTTGGGGGACAGGAAGGTGACGAGATAAATCAGAAACGAAATGAAGGAGAATAGAAATGCAAGTTGGAGTTAAAATACTCTGATAAAAAAGTATAAAATAAAAATAGTAAAAATACATTAGATACTCAATTTCGTGTTTTACTGTACAATATGTGGACAAGACAGAGATCACAAATGGCAATATCGTTTATCGCAATTATATCTGGGACAATATATCGTCCAACCAGGCTTGTGGAGTAACGGATTACATGTAAAGGGATTATGTAATCAGCATACCAAAAAAAGTAACTGTATTCCCTTACAGATACAGTACATAAAAAAAAGATGTAATCAGATTACTGTTACTATTTAGAAACACGTTTCAAAATGAAACGGGAAAACTAAGACAGATCTTGAGATGACAAAATAAAACACAGACAGATCGTGACAGTAGGTGGACACCTGATTCATTAAAACAAAAATAATGTTTGCTTTTTATGCATATATTAAACTAAAACACTTTTTGTAAACTCTACAATTCTGTAGGTCTAGCATACACTGAACAACTAAAAGAGTGACTTTAATTAAATGTATTATGTCAACAGATTTCACATAACTATATCAGGTTAGATTACATTACATTACATTGCATTTAGCTGACGCTTTTATCCAAAGCGACTTACAATAAGTGCGTTCGACCAACAAAATACAACTTGAAGAAAACAGAATCATATAAGTACATCAGGCTTCATAGAGCAAAAACATTTCAAGTGCTACTCAACTGGCTTTAGATAAGCCAGTCCTTTATTGGTATAAAAGTGCTTCGTTAATAGTTCTATCGCTCGAAGTGGAGTCGAAAGAGATGAGTTTTCAGTTTGCGCCGGAAGGTGTGTAAGCTATCTGCTGTCCTGATGTCAATGGGGAGCTCATTCCACCATCCTGGAGCCAGGACAGCAAACCCACGTGTTTTCGCCGATGGGAACTTGGGTCCCCCTCGCAGCGAGGGCGCAGCGAGTCGTTTGGCTGATGCAGAGCGTAGTGCACGCGCTGGGGTGTACGGTTTAACCATGTCCTGGATGTACGAAGGGCCAGATCCATTCGCAGCATGGTAAGCAAGTACCAGTGTCTTGAAGTGGATTCTAGCAGTTACCAGAAGCCAGTGAAGATGAAAAGATGAAAGCAATAATATTAAGTTGAATTGTGTCGGATGTTAAGGTAATCCAAAAGTAACAGAAAGTATTCAGGTTACATTACTTTTAGATTGTTAGGTTAATGATTACATTGTTGTTTAGGCACATAGTAATTGTAACGGATGACATTTTTAAAGTACCCCTCCCAACCCTGTATTTCTGTCTCTCTCTCCTCAGGTCAGGCTGAAGACTGGACTCGTCTCCACACAGAGGACGCTCTCTTCAGGAGTCTGTTTGGACGATACAGCAAGTGGACGCGTCCGGCACGGAACATCTCAGACGTGGTCATCGTGAAGTTCGGCCTCTCCATCGCACAGCTGATCGACGTGGTGGGAACACATATCTGTAAATTAAAAACTGATTTGATTATATGAATGAATCCTCACCAATTCCACATTTTGTGCCACTGTTTGGCTCCAAAACAGGATGAGAAAAATCAGATGATGACGACCAACGTGTGGCTGAAACAGGTAAAAAAGAAGGGATCAGATAGGGTTACTACTAAAACAGTAATACCACAGTGTATAAATAATGTTACAGGTAAATGTCCTTATTACTTTTTGTACTTACTCTGAGTAAAAGTATCAATACGTACCCAAACTAAAAGTAAGTAAAAATGCCTGTTTTGGATTAAAATACATTATACCACTGGATTTTAATGCATTAATGTCTTCATTATTATATATCAGGAGCTGGTAAAAGATAGAGCTTAATTAAATGTATTTTTTCAAGTTTCTTAATCCATCCTAGTTCATTGAACCTGCAAAGTAACTAATGTTGTCAAATAACTGTAGAGTACAAACTACGATATTTGCTTCCATTGTAGTGTACAATAAGTCAAGAGAATACTTCAAAATGTACTTTCCATCACTGAGTTGAATATAAGCACCTGACCAACGATCAGACACATGTGAGTTCTCGATAGCTGATTAACGAGTCAATCTTTTGTACTGATATTCATTACTTTAGTATGAAATCTATACCACTAAAAGTGTTTTCTTTGTCGTAAAATATGTGTATTTGTTGGCAGGAATGGACTGACTATAAGCTGCAGTGGAATCCGTCTGACTTCGACAACGTGACGTCCATCAGAGTCCCTTCTGAGCTCATCTGGGTGCCAGATATTGTGCTGTACAACAAGTAAAAAAGTTCACACATTCAACACCACAAATCCTCCCTGTTTATGAACTCAGATAATACAAAAGAATAAAAAACAAGTACACCATTAATACACAAAAACGAAATATACTGGACAGACTGAACTCAGAAAATCGTTATAGTATAAAAGACAATGACACACGTACTTAGATAGTTACATTTGGGTGAGGTATTTTGTGTAAAAAGTTACTAAACTTTAAATGGACGCTAAAGTACGAGGATGTAAGTATGTTTCGACCCCTAAAAAGCTGTTAATTATCATTTTTCGGATATAAACTTAAACATAAATCCATCTCAGGACTGTTAAACAGGCTCTACTTTGACTGTCTGTAGGTGGAGATGAAATGATCTGTAGTGATCAATTACCCGCTTGATCCATAACAACGTCCTCATCTGCTGAAGAGCGTATGAGGAGGGGAGGTTTCTGCATTTCAATTCAGATTACATGCAAATGATCCTGTTGAATAAATGACCCGGATTCTACTGCCTCTGTGCAGCGATGTTGCATCACACAGTTTCAGTCTGGTTTCCTTTCCCCAGAGGAAGTATTAATCCTTAAATGTGTCTGGATAGAGCGGAAACGTTCTCCTCCTTCAGCATTTGTGTAAATGAGCTTGCATCATGAATAGCATTCAGTGATCAATTATTAAAAGGGGAATAGCTTGAGGTTTATAAATTCACCTTTAGAGTTTGAGAACAAAAACATCTGGAAAACCTCCTTTTTAGGCTGATAATGCCTCAATATTTGTGTCAGATTTCTGTATTGCTTTTCCAGTGCAGATGGAGAGTTTGCAGTCACCCACATGACGAAGGCCCATCTCTTTCACACCGGTCTGGTCCGCTGGGTGCCCCCGGCCATCTACAAGTCCTCCTGCTCCATCGATGTCACCTTCTTCCCCTTCGACCAGCAGAGCTGCAAGATGAAGTTCGGCTCCTGGACCTACGACCGCGCAAAGATCGACCTGGAGCCCTTCGAGAACACCGTGGATCTGAAGGTTTCTTTTCACATTTGGTTATTTAGCCACAACTGGCCCCTCTGTGCTTTGTGATTCCTCTTATCTGTGGATCTGCAGAAGCTAAATACTGGCTGCAGGCTACTTTTTTAATGAACAGCAAAGTTCTCTGTGTGTTGCTGTTGCATTGCGATTGCAGCACTAATGAAAAAAACGAAATGCATGAATCAGATTTCAAAAGAGGAAACGCCTAATCCTGGAGGGATTCCTCAGGTTTAAAACATGGAGGTTTTCTGAATAGTGGGACTTTCAAAGCTTAAATGTAAGTTTTTAGCTACATGCTAACTTATAACTTTACTTATAGCTTTTTAGTTTCACATTTCCATTCCTCCCCAACTCAAAAACAACCCTTTGGTCTATTATGACGTAATTTGATATGAATGTATTTCAGTGAAATTTGGTAACGAAATTTTCGAGGTTCCTATAAGATGAACTGTACGGACTTTTAGCGCCACCATAAACTTCACCTTTTGACATTTCTTTGTAAATATCACAGTAAATATTGGAAGAAAGCTGGTACAAACATTAATGTTCCTCCCAAAATGAATTGTAATAGCTTTTCAATCTTAACTGCTCACAAAAGCTTCTATGAAAATACTGATTTCCATGTTAACTTTAGCAATTAAAGGTCCCCTATTATACTGTTTTTCCTCAATATATTATAGGTCTCAGATATAAACAAAACATGTCTCTGTAGTGTTTGGCTCGAAACACCAAACAGATCATTGTATTTCTCTACACAGAGGGGAGGGGACACATGTTGATGTAAAAACATGAAAAAGTGGATTTTGCATAATAGGTGACCTTTAAAAGACATAATATAATTCTAGGATTACTGGGAGAGCGGAGAGTGGGCGATAGTCAACGCCGTGGGTACCTACAACACCAAGAAATACGACTGCTGCCACGAGATCTACCCCGACATCACGTACTACTTCATCATCCGCCGCCTGCCGCTCTTCTACACTGTCAACCTCATCATCCCCTGCCTGCTGATCTCCTGCCTCACGGTGCTAGTCTTCTACCTGCCGTCCGACTGCGGCGAGAAGATCACGCTGTGCATCTCTGTGCTGCTGTCGCTCACCGTCTTCCTGCTGCTCATCACCGAGATCATCCCCTCCACCTCGCTGGTCATCCCGCTCATCGGCGAGTACCTGCTCTTCACCATGATCTTCGTCACGCTGTCCATCGTCATCACCGTGTTCGTGCTCAACGTGCAACACCGCTCCTCGGCCACGCACACCATGCCGCGCTGGGTGAAGAGGCTCTTCCTGTCGGCAGTGCCTCGCTGGTTGTGCATGAAGCGACCACCAAGGCCTGCCAGGTGAGAGAGATCAGACGGCGGACATTTTGTTTGGTAAAAAGTTCATAGATGCAGGTTCAAATCATTCACTGTAGAAGAATAATAACGCTTTATTTATATAGCACTTTTCATACATCACGTGCAGCTCTACGTGCTTTACAAAATGGATTAACTGGCCACTGGAGAGCAGAAGAAACAAACTGTGATGGTGAAAAGTTGTTGAAATAACTCAAACGATTGATTACAGCAGCTTAAAGTAATAACTGTGCCACTTTTACAGTATTTTAATCAGCCAAAGCATCACTTTTGAAGTAAAAAATGCTGTTTTTTGTACATAAACTCACTTTTCTTTCAGGCGGCGTCACCTGATGACAGGCCCTGCCCACTGCGTATCCACCTTGGAGTCTGACATTGATATCCATGGTTACCAGAATGTTGGCAGCGGTTGCCACGGCGGCCAGCAGCTCCACTCTTTGGATACGGGAGAGGAGATTCACTTCTGCGACCTCCACGTGGATAATTTGCAGATTTCTCCCCCATCTCTGGGTTACCTCCTCCTCCCACGGAGACACCCCTCCCTCAGAGGGGACTGGGACACCCCTCCTGTGGGTGATGGTTCGACCCCGGCTGCCTCTCTCCTGACTCCTGCGGTGGTGTCGGCCCTGGGGGGGGTTATCTACATCGCGGAGCATCTCAGAGCCGAGGACGCAGACTTCTCTGTGAGGGCTGAAACACTTTTCTATTTCTTTGAAATGAAGCATTGGGCCCTTCTGGAAGATTAACAACATTGAGAGACAAGCACTGATTTGTTTTAACGACACCGGTAAAACAGAAGGTGTCAATATGTTTGAGAGATTGTTCTTTCAGTACATTAAGATAATAATCTGATTGTATGTGTGTTAGTGTTGACAGGAAGTGATTTGTTTTCCCGTCTCCTCTCCCTGCAGGTGAAGGAGGAATGGAAGTACGTTGCCATGGTGGTGGACCGGATCTTCCTCTGGATGTTCATTATGGTCTGTCTGCTGGGGACCGTCGGGCTCTTCCTGCCTCCCTGGCTCTCTGGGATGTTTTAATTCAAACACAAAAATAATTAACTATTCTTACAAGGTGGCGTACGAGTGGCATGTCTGTACGAAAAGAAAAAAAGGGTCCTATAATAAAAGAGAAGATGTTTCCTTATTCCTTTATTTTGAAATGATATAGTTTTGCTTGATAAATGTGTTGCAAATTGTTTAAACTCTACCACAAATACCCCTATTTAACCCGTCCATACGGAGACGAAAATGAACCAAAGTAGATATCAAAAAAGTCTTCCGTCCACACGGAATCGGCTCAAGAAACCTGTCCGTCCACACAAGAATGCTCGACCCGCTGTAGTACATATGCCGGGCCTGTAAGTGGCGCTGTACTTCCGACACAAAATACACCAAAAGCAGCGAAGAAGACCCCCGAGCATGGTTGCCATGGTTGCCCTTCTGTTTATGCCCCGCGGTGGATTTAGCAACATGTAGTTCATGTAGTTCTCCATGTCCACTTGTTGCTGATGGTTGTGGTAGAGGAGCTGTAGATTTAGCACTAACATCTGTATCATGGTCAGTAGCATCTGGAGCACGAACGCAACCCTGTGATCCGCCATTGTTGTTGTTGTTGTTGGCGAAACGCATCAGCAATGAGGCGGGGGTGAGCAGGAGAGGTGGGGAGAGGCGGGGCTATGATCGTTTACAGCGTACACACGGTGCTGCAAGCTTTACGTTACCAGACCTTCCCACTTTGGGATGTGTTATCGTTTGAGGGCTCCGTTTCCGCGGTTCCGTTACGGCCTCGTGTGGACGAACCGTCCATACGATAAAGAACTATAATAACACCCGTTTCGTTTCCGTGTGGACGGGGCCTAACTTAGAGCTGCTATCTTTTTTAGGATTCTTCTTTGTTTGTTTTGTTGAAGTAGATTAAAACATCCTCTGTGTCATTTTTTTATACTGTTTTTTTTTATTTCAGCTAAATATATCTTTTATTCACTGAAGAAAACATTTAAAAACTGATAAAAGACGTGTAGAAAACTGAAAATATATTAAAGTAACTGACTAATTTTTATTCCAAAAATCTAAATTATGAAATGTATTTAAGCTTCAGAGTGAATAAGAACACATATCTAATTAGAGAGTTAAAATTATTAAGACCCTGACAATTACACTGAATGAATGTCGCTGTCATCAAAGAATTATTATTCTTCATTATCATCCACATGATCTATTCAGACCAACTTCAATACTTTTCATAAAAGTAACCTCCATTAAAATTAATGAATTGCCTCAAAGGCGTACATTACTTTACATTACATTACTTTGTACAGTTTATTAGAAACCGTTATTGTTAAATAAAATAGGAACTATTTAAAATATGACAGAACTAAATGGTTAGCAGTGAATTTAAGATGACCAAACGAACACAATGTTATATAAAAAGGTGTGTTTGAAAAAGTAACAGACGTTTGGGTCATATTTTTCTGTTTACCCAGTGTCTTTCAATGAGGACATAAAGGCTTGAGATGCTGAAATATACAATCCTCGAAAACATTCAAATGAATACAAATAGTAATAGTAATAAAAAAAGAATTAGAAAAGAAAATACGAGCCATAACTGTTAAAAAAAGGGTTTATTAGAAATACATGTTAATAAAAGCAACAGGATTGTGTAACGTGTGACAGCAGCAGAGGATGAAAGTTATAACATTTATTCGGTAATGTTATGAAAGCAATTTCTTCTTCGAATTAGTTTTGTTTTCATTTGCAGAAGATTTAATCGGGCAGTTTCTAGAAAGTTATATTGACCAGAACAATCATCAAACTTTCCCTCACCACACACTTCCCCTCATCTTCATGATTATTTGTTACTGTCCCACTAAGACTAATGTATCTTCTGCTCTGATGGTTCCACTTCCGTCACTGAGATGAGTCAGTTTCTCTGAAAATAAATAAATCCTGATTTCACAGCACAGGGTGAGGCAGCTCTTTTTGATTTACCCAGAAAAGAAAGGAAAGCATTGTGTGATGTCAACACATTAGACTCAGTCCTTGGTTATTCACTCAATTCATAATCATTCTAAACATGTTTGACTCCGTACTTTATTCCCAAGTGTCTCAACATTTCAACTTCTTTCTCTTTTCTAACATTGTAATCTCTTCCTATAGATCGTTAAATACAAAAGTCTTCAGTTTACTGGAAATATATAAATACATGCAAAGTCTTTACAAGTGTCTTTGTATAAATAACCATCCCGATGGCTTATTATGTACTGGTAGACCTGAAAGTCACAAACTCTAGCTCTAAATGGTTTATCTTGAACTTAAATTACCTTTTTGGCCCTTCTGGCTTCTTAAAGATCAACTGAGGTGAAACACAGACACTGTTTTTGTTTTAAATGAGATACCAAAGTCACACACATGATGATGGCGATTATATACTATATTACACTAGGGGGATGAGAAAATACAACCAGCTGACAGAAAATGATAATGGATACAGTACACAAAAGGCTCAGCTGTGAATGAACACAAGATCACAGATAACATAATGTACAAAATGAAGAGAGATTCTTCTTATTTAGTGTAGAGCAATGCTTTTCTCTTGTCGTACATGGGGCTGAGCGAGAACACGGCGTCGGTGAGGGCGGTGGGGAGGAAGGGGAAGAGCTGGAAGAAGAGCATGTCCACCGTGGAGACCAGCAGGTATCTGTACTTTGGCCGTGAGGACGTGACGGCGTGCAGCATGGCGTCGATCACCATCTTGGCGTCTTTAAACCCCCCCTTGCACGTGGATATGAAGTACTCGTTGGCCAGCTCCATGTACTGCAGGTTGAAGATCTGCTTACGTTCCCCGTCTAATTTCTCCCAAATATCCAAACCGGTTTTCATCTTCCGGATGTTGGTGGCCTGGCCGAAGTTACCCGGCTGGATGATGCTGACCTGAACAAATGAAGAATATGTAACATCAAGATATCTGCTTTTAGGTGAGGGTCATATTTAAGCAGTAAAAATAAGTATTTTAAAGTTGGGGAAAAAATAATTCAGTGGCCTAAATGTAATCCAAAAATGTGTCTTCCTATCCTAGACTTCCCTATAGTTTTACAGAAACATAACATTACCTTCACTCCAAAACTGGCCATTTCTACCCGCAGACAGTCTGCAAACGCCTCCAGGCCTCTCTTGGACACGCTGTAAGCCCCCATGTTCAGGCAGTTAAAGAAAGCAAAAATGCTGGACATGAAGACCATCCGACCTGAAACAGAAAATGTTTACTTCACAATAGTATACGTGCAAACTGTTCAAGGTTATAGATATAAGAATGTGAGGTTAAGTTGATATGTAGGTAATTTTTTTAAGCTTACCTTTAGCAGCACGAACCAAAGGTAGGAACGCAGAAGAGACCCGGATTGAGCCGAACAGATTGATGTCGATCATTCGTTGGAAATCTTCGATGGAGCTCCATTCAATCTCTGCCCAGTCCGTGATTCCAGCGTTGCTCACGACCGCCCACAGGCCTGAGGGAAAATCAACGTTATGGTTCAGAAAGAGACGATTTGAGGACTTAAGTGTGTGTATTGTGCATATGTTTTATGTAGCACTTATTTGAAATCAGTTGACGTGCAACCACGACGATCATTCAAAAGATCCTTTCAGGACACGTTTTGATCAAGTTGATCAAAACGTGTCCTGAAGGGACATTATCTTTTGAATGATCATCGTGGTTGTGGACATATCATTTGCATGGTCGCATCACTGCCATGAAAGGAAGGACTCAAAAGAAAATACTATATCAAAATGACACTAAAAGCCCTGATTCAGAAATAAGACTCTCAAAGAGTTACTCATAACTCATTGAATTAATATATACTAGGGAAAAAAACAAAAAAATAGTTTATGAATGACAACAAATATGGTTAATGTAAAAAAGGTAGTCCTAGTTTTATGTCATATTTTTTTGTTTAAGAAAGTAGGCCCCTCCCCTATTTCTGTTGAGCAGAATTGAGCTTCCATACACATCAAATCTGGAGAAGGGTCATAAAAAAGACAATAAGGAAGTAAACAAGTCACAAAAAAACTCATGAATTATTTGATAATCCATCATTTGCCTGTGACCTAAGAATTCCATCGGCATAACTACACTGTTCGTATGACAAAATAAAGAACCTTGAACCTTGATTTAAATATAAAACAAGGCCAATTGAAGACAAAATTATACAATATTTTGTCATTTTCTATATTTTTTTGCTGAGTTTGCTCCCATACACATCCAGCTTCAAACAGTGTAATATGTTTTGTGTTTAATAACCTCACCTTTGTCTGGCAGGTTCTGCAGGACCGTCTTCTTCGCTTGCTGCACCTCTTCATTGCTGGTGACGTCCAGTTTGAGGACTTTCAGATTACTGGAGCTTTTTTCAGCCAGACTCTGGGCGCCCGGTCCTTCTGGAGCCAGGCACCCTGCGAACACCACAAACCCTTTGTCGTCCAAAACGCGTGCCAGCTGGTGCCCGAAGCCACTGTCGCAGCCCGTTATCAGCACCGCAGAGCCGTAACCGTCCTGATCATGGCTGCGGCGGGAAACCAGCTTGGCGAGGGCGAAGAGGAGGGCGACGGAGATGGAGGCGATGCCAATGATCTGGCCGATAACGAAAATTGTGTTCATGCTGGCGAAGTGTCTGGAGACTGAATGACAGAACTGACTGCGCACTTTATATCCCAGTTTGTTGATCATCAAATGTGTGAGGCTGGATCAAATGCAATTTGTTCAGGTTTGCATGTGATTTGAAAGATACTTCTGTTGTCGAAGGAGTGGTGATGTGTTCCTTTAATTCCCATTTCCCCTAAGAATACAAACTTCTTTATTGTTGACAGCAATTGTAATCATTGGGACATTGCCAATACCCACAAATGTTACAGTACTTATTCCAGAACATGTTGGCTTATTCCTATGATCTTTGAAAAGGCAACATTTCCAAAACACTTCTTGATGTCAGACTATTGGTCTTGATTCCAATTACAGGAAAGACATTTACGACTTCCTAGGAAGAACCGTTTTGGGACGGCTCCTTCCTGCGCCCAAGATTTGGACAACTTGGGTAAATGTTACATAAAGTTGTAGAATAGATAGAATTAGCTGGCATTAGCTTGTTAGCTTAGCTTGCAAATGCTAAGACAAGAAGACTGCTTTTGTAAAATGTAAGCGACTGTGGGTAGTTTGTTTTGCTGTCATGACTTGTAAAGATTTGTATGTATTAATGTTACGTCGTTATTTAATGTTATTTCTCATACTTACGCAAACGGCGCCATGCACTTCTGCATCACCTCTTCCTGCTGTGCTACGATTGGCTAACTCATTACTTTGGCGCGTTTTTTGATTGGCTATGTGCCGCACTTCACTGCTGTGGTTGTAGGGAAACAAAGTCTGGCACAAACATTTACAAAGTAGTGTCAAGTTAAATGTATACAGTTCCTCTAACAAACCTACTGCACAATTAGGATAACAAATAAAAAGGTTTGACTTTAAGACAATGTATGTTGATGTTCATTATTGTCTAAGTTATATATTCACATAGGCTATCTTCTTGCTACATAAAAGCTTTAAAGCAAGAACCAGGCAAATTACTTGTATTTGTACTTATATCTGGTAAATCAAGCAAAACAACTATCTTACGGTGTTTCTAGCTGAAAGTGTTTTTTGAAAAATGGTGGCAGGGAAGCTTTCAAAACCTCATTACGTAGCCTTGGACTTTACACAACCCCTGAAGCAGTTTTACAGGACAACAAACAGTCATTGAGTCAAGTTTAATGACAAAAGGCTCAAAACACTGCCGCTTTGTACAATCGCCATACATTGATATTTATAGATCCTTCTTCGGAAAGCATTTCCCTGTAGCCAGACACACAGACTAGGCTTTGGGATGATTCCTTGAAACCCCCCTAAATCTTTCCGATAAAAAACAGGGTGGTTTTTAGTTTCTTGTAACCACAGCAAGCAGGTGATTTCCTTATTAATCTCGGTCACCACAAATCCTGTGATGTAGTTCAGGGGTTCGTGGAAGTCTCACTTGTATCAAAGAAAAGCTGCCCACTATCATCATCATGAATAAAACAGCTCAGAAGGCAACAAAACAACAAGATCTGCTAACTAGTTAACAAGACATGTGACCTACTGAAAAGCCTACTTTTGAGGAGAAAAATATATATTTTAGTAGTTTTTCATACAGACTTTGTATACACTATCCATCTAATTTGGACAGAGTAGATACAACCTCTAAGAGCCCCACTAAGGTTGCAAACATGCGCATAGGAGTATCAAAATATATAACTGTGGAACACTACAAGCTTTTAGTCCCAATAAGAGTGAGATTGATACTTTAGTTTTTTAATCTGGATCGGTTTCACATTGCACAAATTAAAGCGGGCCTAAACAATTTGCTGAGGGCCGTATAAGGGCGATTACTATTTCAGGGAAATTAATCGCATTTTTCTTGGCACGAACAGACTCTAGCAACTGATTCTGCTTCCACCAGTTTGTCTCAAATGACTATATAAACTTTCTTTGCAGACTTGAATTTAAATATTCTGTATGTTCTCTTTGGTTCTTATGTCAAGCAAGATATTAACAATAGATGTATTTTGCATAGTGGGAGGCCAAATTGGGAACAACTCTAACCTCCTGTTGTTGGCTTCTTTCTCAGACCCTACCCATTTAAAAAGTTGACCTTCATTTTGACAGGGTTATCTCTACTACACACATGAAAAGTTTGGTGACTGTATCTTGTACGGTTTCAACACAACAACTCTTAAGGTGACAACAAAATAACAATGCTAACCTGTTAATAATCTCAATAATACTAATTAAATGTTCTCCAACGTGTTATCTAGCAATAGGAGTTTTCATGAGAACTTAGTTAATCAGAACTCTTTAGTTCTGATTAACTAAAGAGCAGATCGCGTTCACACCGGAATAAATCGCTGAGGGAGGATTAGTCAAATGAAGCCGCTGACGTCACTTCTTCTTCTTCTGCTTTGGGTTTACTGGCAGGCCGCAAACAACTTCACGGCGTATACTGCCACCCGAAGTCCCCGGAGTTGGGGACTGGCGAGTCCCAGCAGCTTCTACTGAAGCCTTCCGAGTAAATTGCCAGAACGCCGACACCTCCTCATCTCCACCGCTCCCACGTTTTATTTCGTGTTGCCATAAGTTAGTCTCTCTCCATTTGTGCGCTGGGCTAATGCTAATAATGTTAATGCAAGCAAATAAAATGGCGGCTTCACAAAACTTTTTGGGAGTTTTACGGGCCGTGGTTTGCAATCCGCCCAGCCAATCAGAAATGGGAACCTTTTTCTCCCATGAAAGTGCCTGCTCTCTAGCAGGGACTGAAAAGGGGGTGAAAAGGTTCTCATTAACTAAATTCTAGTTCCGGATTTTTTTGGTGTGAACCCACATTTTCGGAACTATATCGGAACTATACTGGGAAAAGTACTCCGGTGTGAAAGCGCCTTATACTTATTATTAAGTGTTTGGTGAACCTTTTTTTTAAACCCCCTTACATTTTTATCGATAGAGGACTATTTTCTCCGTGTTTAACTGAGGACAGCTTTCGAATAGAATACACAAACACGCCGCTGTAAATACGTTTTGAACTGAATGACCGTATGCAGTGTTAGCTCCAAGCTCCCAGACAGTCTGCTTTATGACAGGCATGAAAGGAAATAAATGAAAAATATTGTAGCGACCCTGTATAGGATGCTGAGGGTGTCACTCAGGCATTCCCCGTCTCTCTGCCAATCATAGCACAGTGATGCTGGTTGAGGTGCGGGCCTGTGGTTGGGGGAGCAGACGGGGGAGGGCGGGAAGTTGTGACGTAGACACTGATATATATATGGATATGTGTGGGAGTTAGTGTTAGTGTGAGGTTGAACCCACAAGCTGTTCCTGAACCTGTGATCATCTGTAAAGAAGAAGAGTTATTAAAGCCTAATAACTAGCAGCCTATTTCCGACTCCCTTTGTGATCGTTACATTGGTGTCAGAAGTGACTTTTCGAACGGAGGACATCTATCCTGACGGGAGTTCGTAACTGCGTCACGGAGCTAGCCGGTAAGCTAGCGGAGATGGAAAAGTTCAGCAAGATGGGAGTGAAGCAGGAAAGTAGTGATGGAGAGGAAGAGGGAGCATGCAGGTGGTCGAAGGACATGAGTGGGGAGTTCAGGAGTGCACGGGAGGCGAGAGAGCGCCTGAGAGAGTCGGCGGTGAAGATGGCTAGAGACGCGGGAATGTCGCCGTCTTCAGCGCCATTTCGCGCCATTTCCAAGGTGGATGTAAACAACAATGGCGGCGCCCATCAACCAGTAGCAGCCGCCGCGTCCGTGAAAACACCCAAATACTCGGGTAAGGCAGACTGGGAGGCTTTCCATGCCCAATTTGAACTATTTGCACATGCCGGGGGTTGGTCGATAGAGACTAAAGCACTACAGCTAGCTTTGTGCCTCACAGACGAGGCTCTTTCATGTTTGCTACTACTTAGCCTTGAGGACCGACACAGCTATGAAGCGTTAGCGGGGGCTTTGAAGAGGTGGTTTGGACAGTGTTTCCCGCCAGAGCTGCTCCGGAACGAATTGAGTAACCGCTGTAGGAAGTCTGGAGAGACGCTGCGTGCGTTGGCTAACGACGTGGAGAGCCTGACGCGGCGGGCATATGCACACATGCCACCCGGAGTGCAGAGTGAGCTGGCATGTGATCAATTCAGCAGGGCTCTCCTCCCTGCGGACTTGAGGGTTGGGGTACAGCTGCAGCATCCACAGTCCCTGCAGGCGGCCTTGGAGATGGCTGTGGAGAGAGAGATTGTGTGGAGTGTAGCGGCGAGGAGCAACGGAGGGCCGGTACCACCAGCTGTGAGGAGCTGCAGAGAGGAGGAGAAGCCTGTATGGGTTACCGAAATGACTGAAAGTGTTCAAGTTTTATTAGAGGAGAAAATGAGGGAGATGGAAGCAGCTGTCAAGGCAGAGAGGGAACTGCGGCAGCAACAGGAGGCTAGACTCAAAGCGGAGCTGGCCTCGCTTGAGCGAGATCTCCAGGAGAGTAAAGAGAAGGAGAGCCTTGTGGCCTCTCTGAAGAAGTGCCTCCAAGAGGGCAAAGAGAGAGAAAGGAGCCTGGTGGAGGAGGGTGCCAAGAGGGAGGCGCAGTTCAAAGAGCTGCTCAGGAGCCTGGAAGCCGAGAAGGACAACCTGGAGGAGCGTCTGACGAACCAGCTATCCCAGCTCAACGGCAGCATAGCAGACTACCAGCAGGAGGCGGCGGACAACCGGGAGCACTTGGCCGAGCTGCAGCGGGAGGTGGAGCGGTTGGCGAGGGAGCGGGCCGAGTTGGAGGCTGAGGCGCAGAGCGAGAGCAACTGGGCCGCCAGGCTGGAGGAGGACAGAGAGAGAGAGCAGAAGCAGAGTCTGGTAAGCAGGAGGAGCTGCTGAGGGAGAAGCAGCTGGAGGTCCGGCAGCTGCAGAGGGACTGCATCAAGTACCAGGAGAGGATCAGCGAGATGGGTAAAGACGCTAAGGCGCTGCAGCAAGGTTACAACGAGCTCCAGAATAAGCTAGGACAATCCCAACTGGAGACTTTGAAAACTCTAGAAGACCTGAAAAGGACAGAAGCAGAGTTGGATAC